ATGCATGTGTCTATTACTTTGGTGTGGAATTTACCATTCCTGTACTAATGCTAGCTGTGTGTCCCTGGGCTAATATTACTGACAATGCATTAATAGTGTTTCAAGTGAATAAAACAAATCACTTTGGGTTGGAAATTTTTGCTCACAAACATTAGCTTACTTTGCGGTTTTAATTGTGTATTATAACTTAAATGAAATTATGTAAGATTTTAATATCTTAGAAAAGAGAAAAATATTAAGAAGATCCTTTCTATAAAGTATAATTTTTAACTTTTATGTTCAAGAGTCATGAAGACAAGCATATTTTAAAAAATCTTTATGAAATATGTGCAGTTGGGGGCAGTGAGTGTGCTAGATTTTTATGGAAGGGGGAATGATTAGCAGATTAATATGCAGTTGGTGAGTAACCCACATCTTGAGTTATGGCTTAGAACTCAGACATGAAAAGAAGATGGGGCTTAGTTTCATGGTAGCCATCACTTCTAACTGCTTTTGAGGCTTGTGTTTACTCCTTGGAAGTGAATTCTTCCTTTAATTCTCCCTATCTTATCCTTATTTTTCTGTCTTCTGTTTGTGAGCCCATGGTAAAAATTGGCATGGCAGTCACAAACTAAATTGCTAGTATGTTTCTAATAAAACAAACAGTACAAAGAGAAACAATAGGACTGCCAGTTATTAGAAGGAAGAATCTTCCCATATTAAAAATTTCTCCCACTTTACTTGTCTATAAAGAGAGGATTTGAGAGAAATAATAGGAATGCAAGTGCATGGGGCTCAAATGGAGGTGAGTGTATATTGTATGCCAGTGCTATGTGGTGTTTTTTACATAGATTGCCATTTTACATTGTCATACAGGTATCTTGATCTGTTTAATAGAAAAAGAGATCTTCCAGTGTGATTATAATGAACAATTGCTTAGGCATTGACATAATATTCCTCTATTTTTGGTATATATTGTTTGGTTTTTGTTTGTTCATATTAGGGTCTATCTCAGAGGTAGTATGTCATTGGAAGTCACCCTTTTGAAGTTGTGTTACGTGTTTTTCTGTTTTTCAGTATATGAAACCCAGGGTTGATGAAGCTATAGGGACAGCAAGTAGAATAAGGGTTTCGCGGGGAAGGGGTACAGTGGTGGTGGGGTAAAAGGTAGACAATGTCAAGGGGTCCATGTATAAAAAGAATGTCTGAAAATGGATTTTCACAGAAATTGTACAATTCTACTTGACGTGAATGAACTATGGAATGACATGTTATGTATTAAATCCCACTTAATAACACATTTTTAAAAATTTGAAGGCATAAGGTAGTGTGTCGTGAGCCAAAGGGTGGATGAAGGGAGACGTCGGACAGGGCAAGATATGACAAAATACCCATTTATAAACTATCAAGGGCTCATGCGGGAGGGGGGAGCGGGGAGGGAGGGGAAAAATGAGGACCTAATGTCGGGGGTTTAAATGGAGAGAAAGTGTTTTGAGAAACGATGTACAAATGTGCTTTACACAATTGATGTGTGTATGGATTGGGATAACAGTTGTATGAGCCCCTAATAAAATGTTAAAAAAGAAAAAAAAAAAAAGAATCACACACACACACAAAAAAAGGTAGTGTGTCGTGGCTGCTAATAATTTGGAGGATGGATGGATCAAGAAGAAAAGTCCGCAGCCTTCCTTGACTTTCAGATGCTCTTAGTTCAACCAGCTTTTCATGTGTAGTGGTTTTGAAACTGAATGTCTAAATCAGTGGCATGTGTGTGACCGGAAAGAGTCTATGTTGTTTCTGAGATTTCCTTATTTGGAGCAAGGAGTTGGCTCCAGCCCTGACTTAATAAACCTTACTTGTTGACAGAGAAGATGGCCAGGTAGATTCAGAGGGCTGTGGTTTTCCTTTAATAAAACCACTTTATTCTCACTTAAAGAGAATTTTTAAAAATTATGTTTTATTTCCATTAACAATCTAGTGTATCAAAACATAATTTTCCAGAAAGTCTCAAGGAAATATATACCTGTCTTTTAAGGAATTATGTTTTTTCAGCCTCAATTCCTTTAGTACTAACTATACTCAAATGAAAATGTGTCGTTGTACGACTGTGGATGAGGAGATACCTTGATATTGGAAAACAGGGACCCAGTTTGCTGAGATCTTTTTACGTTTGGCAGTTGGGGTGTTCAAGAAAAGCCAACTGGTAATTTAAATACTACTCTAAAAATATCTTGGGAATGGAACTTTTTGTTCTGCCAGAGGAGGAGAGAGCACTGAATTAAAACCAAGATTGTGTGTCATTTTTGCCTTATTCTTTTTATGTAGTTAGTGTAAATTTAGCCAGTGTAGATGACATCTTTATGGTTCACTGGTCTGGGAATATAGATCTGAATGTTGCTTCTAGCTGTATGACCTTGGGCATGTTCCTTACTCTTTCTGTATGTTAGTTATCTGTAATGTAAAATAAGTTTTTCAAACTAGAGGAGCTCCAGGGACCCATCTAACTCTTAAAAATTGCTACCAGGCTCTTTTATCCAAGGGTTTTCTACTACAGGGATGTGTATTGTTTAACATACACAAAACATTCTGTGAAATAATATGTTATATGATTTGCATGTTATATGAACACCGTATTAAAATCTCAGGGGAACTTGTCCATGTACTTAGTTCATCAGGGTGGACACAGGTAATCAGTTCAAGACCAGTTTACCTTGGATAATTTACAGTCTTGTGCTATGCAGGTGGTCTAATCTCCACACCTCGCACCTCAATTACTATTTGAGGTACTAGGGTGACACGCATGCCTCTTTTGTGATCTTACCTGCTGGTCTGAGGAAGAGAAGAAATTTACTTGGCTCACTGTAGATTCTATGCTTCTGTTGCATAACCAAAAATATAAACTAATGATGAACATGAAAGATCAGAAGACTGTTGGGAATCAAATCATGGAATCGTACTGATGCTTGTAAACAGACTTCAGAGCAGATTTGATCAAATGCCTCAGTGCACACAGCAGATGTTGACTAGATTTTTTTTCCCAATTTTGCTCAAAGATAATGTCCCAAATCAGGTGGTATTGAATTGCGGTGTTATGTTTCTGTATTTGAAATGGATGGTCAGGCATAGCCAACTCTATTCACCTGCTTAGTGATCATGCTGGATTTCCCACATGGTATTGAGGAGGAATTCATTTTGGAGAAGATCATATTGGTTAGCTATGAACCTGGTTGTATATAAAGTCAGAGTCAATGCAAATTAGTACAACACTGCACTTTGAAATTTTGAAAGATTTATTTATTATAATTTCAGCTGAATAGGGTTTAGCCATTTGATTTTATCTGATGCAGGACTTAATGCTCCAGGGCTAATTGTTGAATGTGGAAAATTTTGGAATTCCATTTAATTTATTTAGCTGTCAGGCTCTGGTCACTTGTTCTCTTTTAAACAGCTTTCTTGAGGCATGGCTTGATAACCTTAGCCTCTTTAAAAACTTATCCAAGTTCATCTAATTATAAGTAACGTTTTATATTAGTAGGGCACAGAGGCTCTTCATTTAATTGTTGTTCTTTTCCAGTTAGTAGTAAAAGAAAAGAAAGGAAAATTCTTTGCAGTGAGCACAAAATTATAACCATAATCTTGTACAATACAATTCTATTTTCTTAAAATAAATCTCTAATAAACATTTCTTTCTGTCTTTTATAAACTAACATTCACAATATATATTATTAAAAATCTATAAAAGCTTCCTTTTAGTACTCAGCTAAATTTGTTAATAAGTATAATGGCTAATTTTTATCTTGATATTTGAGTTCTGTTGGTCATATATGAATTCCACAAGTGGCTAGGCATACATAAATCATCTCCATATTTTCTTCCTTTCCAACAAAAACCTGGGGCTGTCCCAAACATGGTTTTTGAAGCTAAGTTGTCCTAACCTGCTGCTGTAAGGAAGGAAGGTTCTCTGCTGTTACCTGACTTGGCTCAATTGTTCTGAGAAGTCACCCTCTGTTACTAACTCTCCATGTACTTTATCCTTTCCCAGGAAGATTCGGAAAGGGCCAAGTATTCCCATGGGTCCAGTCATCATCGCCTTTATCTGGTTTGTAATCACCTATAAAACTGCCCCTAATGTTTTTCCTCATTAATTTAAGGTAGTCACTCATTGTTTTTTACTGTTTGTTTTTATTTTTATCAGGGAGTTGAGGATGCAATGTCCATTCGAAGTCTTGGCAGTCACAGGGTTGGTATTTTAAGTTGCCTACACCATAATAGCAAATTTTGTATGTGTGAGCTTTCTGCATCACTTTTAACTAAGCAATCTGAAAATGTTCATATGTTCCTTTGTCGCTTTTACAAAATAGAAACTATTATAGAAGCCCTTTATTGGATAATAATGCTTTCCTCTGAAATCATTACTGTGCAGTGAATCAATTTTTAAATGAAATATTTTCATCTATTAACTTACATTTCTACTCTTTTTCTATAACAACTAGGTTCTTTGATTTTGGAAAATTTTTGCAAAATTATGTTTGATTTTATAGAATAATATACTTGGTTCTGATTTTCAGATTTTCCTCATTTTTATATTTTAAAAAAAATGACAGGAAATAATTTGGGGGCATGGAAAAAATGAGTTACTGATTTGGAAAATTCCCTGCTTGTTATAAGTATAGCAGTTATCATGAGTTGACATTTTGATTAACATTTTATAGAATGGTCAAGGATTAAGCATCTATTGTTGCTAATTAAGATCAATGAGAAGTTGCTCATTGAAGGATCGCGTATGGTGCTAGGTGATCAATCTTCAAGAATTGTGGTTTTAATCTTCAAGCAATGTATTTAATTTGCACATTGATGCTTATAGCTTACTTACATGACATTACATAGATTTTTTTCACTAACAAAATAATGTTTCATGTTAAGGTCTGTATTTGTTAACTTTCCTCAAACCTGTTTTTTTCCTCCCATCATTTCATTTAATTTATAAAAAATACAATATAGTAAATGAAAGTATCTTCTAGCATATTAGTTATTGGCATATTTGTATCTGTAAGTCTTTCACACAGGTTATTTTTCATGTTAACATGAAACTACTTAGTAAGCTAATTTATGAGTTATAATACACAATTTGGTTAGTTTTAAAACTTTAGATTCAAAGAAAAAGAAAAAATCCTTCAGATTCATAAGAATATTAATAAACCTTTATAGAATTCTAAGCTAATGAGCTTTAAAGTAATGGAATGGGAGAAATGCTTTAAGGTAACAAATTTGTCATGTTTTCCCCTGGTGATGCTTTGATTTTTCGCTTTATTTTATTATTAACTATTGTGTTAATAATCATAAATGGAGTTAATGTTGAAAGCTTGTAAGTTGAGTGCCAAGGACTGTGGAAACACTCCCACCCCTCACCTTAAATATACGGCTTTTCCCCATTTCCTGTGCTGTGAATTTTCAGTTCTAAACCTGGTTAGGTTTATATTTGTATGTGGTCCCAGATACCTGATTAAATATTAGTTAAACTAAAGGTAAATTGATCAAATTTAAGCCAATATAGGTGGTTTTTTTTTCCAATACAGGGTTTTTAAAAACACATCTGCAAACAAAGCAACAAAGAAAAATAAATCTGTAATTAAACTGATGGAGGAATTATATACTCAGAGTATCTACAATGAGATTTTGAAATTGATTTTATGGATTTTCATCAGGTTATTTGCTTTTAAAAATAACTTTATCCAAAAAAATAACTTTATCGTCTTTACTAAGCTAATATAAGCAGAACTTTGTTTTCTAAAAATGAAACGCTGGAAAAAAAAAAAAGAAACGCTGAGAGCCTAAAACAATGAACTAAATTTTCTTGTGGCTTGCCAAGTAATTTGAAGGTTTTGCAGCTATTTAAAAAACAGACAAACAAAATTATACCTATAAGCCATGTATTCAAATTTTAGCACATTTTTTGAGCTATACATTTGATGTAGGACTTTCGTGTTTCCTTTTACCTAGTTAGCTTTCTGATGCTACCTTTTTGAAAAGTGACCTGTCAGAAGTTGTTTTGGTTGGAACCATTAGTTTAGGGTTGGAAATATCAATTCTCTGGCCCATGGGCTGTATAAGGGCCACAAAATCACCAATACCAGCTAACATCACATACCTCACTGAAGAGAAGCCAGTCCAGCCATCACAGGAGGGGTTGAGTAAATTACATATTTGACCAGTATGGTAGAAAGGAGTATTATATAAAAATGCTGAGATTAGAATTGAAACCGTCTGTGTCTGTTCATTATGTGTCAGTTCATTATTTGGCAGTATGGAACAGCAGTGGCTGCTTTACATGACAATACCTCACAAATGCACCGCCACTCTCACTGCTTTGTCTGCATAAATACATGAGGACCTTAAGGTAGAGGTCCAAATGAAGTGAACCTAAATCAGAGCTGTTAGGGATACATTGCTATTTTATATTGCTGGGAATTTTTGCTGTTGTGTATTCTTAGTTCCTAGTTATATATCAATAACCTACCGTAATTCTAATGAGTTTTTCTTTCTTCATATGTTTGCAACTTGTGTTTTGTCACTGCACTGCTTAATTTTATTGAAGAAGCTATCCAAGGATGTAACTGGGGCACATTGGAGCAGAACCAGTACACCTAAAAGACAAGACACCATGGTGTGTAGCCCAGAGTAATAAATATGTGGTCTTCAGTATTGTGCTCTCTCTGCTGATTGGCTGTCAGGTTCTGGGGCTTTCAGAGATAGGTATATTCTGATAGAAATGGATACTTGGTGTACTTTGTTTCCACAGTCTCTTTACTGTACATTTTCTTTTGTTTCCAAATAAAAATTTATAGGCAAATTGTTCTGAGAGTTAAAAAGTTTTTTGTGATATGTGGTAATGGCAAATTTGAAACATTTTAGGAGAGCTATTAATATTTAAACATTTTTTCTCCTTTGAGGAATCATTTATTTATAGAATACCACAAGTGCCCACTGTTACATATTATAGTTCCTTTTCTTTGCCCCTTGTTGTAATAGCAATTTGGATGTCCAAGTGATAGATATCTTTATCAGATAGATGTAACAACCTTTCAAACCACGGCAGTTCTACATTTTGCTTGGAAAAGGAAATTGGAATAGACAAATTTCAATTGCACTATGTTAAATCCTATACTGAAGAAATAAGACACTGCCCTTCTCTTCAATGAGGAGTTCTGATGGCCCAGTGGATGACTGGTTGACTGCTAAACACAAAGGGTCAGCGTCCGAGCTCACCAGTTGCTCGTGGCAGAGAGATAGGCCTCTCTCCTTCTGCGAAGATTTTCAGCCCTACGAGCCCTAGAGGATCTCTATGAGTCTAACTCCACTGCATGGCGATGGGTTTACTCCCTTGAAAGAACTTAGTTGAATGGGAGGATAGAATAGTCATATACTAGAATATGTAACTTGAGTTTTTAAACAAATGAGTTCTATAGGTGTTAACTGAGCAAAGTAAATAAACTTTCTTGAGCAGTGGTTCTCAACTTGTGGGTCGTGACCCCTTTGGGGGTTGAATGACCCTTTCACAGGGGTCGCCCAATTCATAACAGTAGCAAAATTACAGTGATGAAGTAGCAACGAAAATGATTTTATGGTTGGGGGTCACCACCACATGAGGAACTGTATTAAAGGGTCGCGGCATGAGGAAGGTTGAGAACCACTGCTCTAGAGGGAAGTAACTTTACTCTCAGGCACAATGACTCCTTAGAAAGTTTCGTTATGCGTTTTAGATAATTTTGGATGAACAAAAGTTTGTTAAATATGCAATAAAAACTCTTACCTTTTCCAATAGTTTAAGGATAATATAAGTATATAAATGAAGATTATTCTGCTTCAGTACTTTTTGGTATTTTATTGCAGTATCATCTTGAATGAATTTATACAAGGGATAAAATTATACCACTTAGTATATCTTTCATGGTTTCTGTGAAAACTTTTAGAAATGCCCCTCTTATTGGGCACAAACAGAAGAGCTTTGTTTTATTTGAGCTAATATTTTAATGCTTAATTAGAACTAGACTGTAAAATTAGAATTAGATAATATTTGATAGTGTAGATTAAATTTAAAAAATACATAACCTTTGCAGCAAGACATATATTTTGCGTAGTTGTCAGGTAGACACATGCAAATAGGTATACATATGTTTGTATGTATATACACCCAAAATTGAACGTACTGCCATTGTGTTGACTCCAAGTCATATTCACGCTTTAGGACAGCGTAGAACTGCTCCCTTGGGTTTCCAGGCTGTAAATCTTTTGGGAAGCTGAAAGCCTCATCTTTTTCTTGCTGAGCGATTAGAAGATTTGAACTACTAACCTTGCAATTAGCAGCTAGCGAATTACCCACTATGTCACATGGTATATATAAGTAAATAAATCATTCAAGCAAGATTTTAATAAAATTTACTGTTGCACACAACATATTAATATATTTCCTTTTTTTTTTAAAGTCCTGGTTAAAGCCACTAAAAGGAGCTTTCATAAGCTATTAATAGGTTGCAACCTACGTTAGGAAAGCATTATTTTAAGTCATTTTTAAAGTTGTGCTCTTCAATATCCTAAATGAATATAGGAGTTGTACAATAAAGATATTTTTACCAAATGGTATTCAACCCACCTGAGGCTCTTGTTCATCACCTTTATTTGCTTTATACATTGGTGCCCTCACTGAGATTGCTTTACATGTGTAAGTCAGAATGTTTAAGAAACAATGTTAGAAAACTACAAATCTAAGTACAGTAATTATCTCGGTTTTTTCTTTTTCTAAGGGCCCTACACAAACTAGGTTTTCAGGACTTTGCATATGTTCTTTTATTTTTCACTGACTTATATTTAATGTCATGTTTGTTGTATACTTTGAACTGACCAAGTTTCTTGGTTTGGTCAGCATTTTTTATCGTGAAGGTTCCTGAGGAAGGGAGTCTTTCAGGTGTGTGTCCACAAACACATTCAAGGAACACCCCTGCTTTGGATGCTGCTCTTGCTTTGTGGAAGCTTGACCCTGCCAATCTTGTAGTTTTGTCTCATTGCCTGTCCCTATCTTACTTTTGCTGTGTTTAAATGATGGTAATACCTAAAATAAATGAAAAAATAAAGCATCTTTTGACTTCAGAATGCTTAGTTCCTGTACTTAAAGGGTTCCTTAAGGTGTTTTGTGCTACAGTATACTGAGATTGAATTGCCTTACCATTACTGTTATTTGAAAGAGAAATAGACATGCCATTTTAAAATACACATATAATTTAGCAACAGTTAATACTAGAAAGAGTGGAGGGAAGAATGTTTTCTAATTCAAATGCAGTGACCTTGATACTTGATAATATTTGGCTTTTTAAAAATAGTGCTGGACTTTTAATAATTTTTACATGTTACTTTTTACTCCTTGATATTCTGAATTGGGAAACACCCAACTTTCCCCTGGGACTGACATTCAGTATGATGCTACCAAGGATCGATCCTCAAGACTTTTATCACTAGTACGTGTTGCATGACTGTGTTAAATGTAGTTTTACTCTGTGAACACCTGATGAGAAAATGCTCGTCATGGGTAATGACTAACTTTCATGCATTTATTTACAGCATTATGGGAAATGCTGGCTAACAAAACAAAACTTATGTGTTTTCCAATTGTAGGATAGCTTATATTTGGATAGCAGATTTTTATTTTAGTATTACAAGATCAGGACTGAGATTGGTAGTAACAGCACTTTTTCTTAAAATATGGAACCACCCGGCTGATAAATACTGCCCCCTAAGACATGCACCTAATAGTGCTTGGTTGCACACTGAACTGGAGTAGCACAGGACTACCTCTGTTCCATGTTATGTGCCTTAAGCTATCAGTCACAGTGGAAACTGGATACAACTCTATGCCTGAGAATGTTGAGTTGGGTCTTTGTTTTTGTAATTTTAACTAAGCAAGGTAAGCTATATAGCATGCTTTTCTTCAGTTTATAATCTATTAGTAAATTGAGTTTCTAGACTAGGCATATCCTAGAAATGTTCAGTGTAAATGTTTAAGATGAAAGATAGGCAGATTCGCCATCTAGCTCAGAAGCAACAAAGCCCACATGGAAGAAGCACACCAGCCAGTGCGATCACGAGGTGTCGAAGGGATCAGGTATAAGGCATCATCAGAACAAAAAAATCTTACCATAGTGAATGATGGGGGAAGTGCGGCGTGGAGACCCAAAGCCCATTTGTAGGCCACTGGAGATCCCCTTGCAGAGGGGTCTTGGGGAGGAGACGAGCCAGACAGGGTGCGATGTAGCAACGATGAAAAATAAAACTTTCCTCTAGTTCCTAAATGTTTCCTCCACCCCCACCTCCACCCACCCACTATTATGATCCGAATTCGACCTTGCAAGTCTGACTAGACCAGAGGATGTACACTCGTACAAATAGGAACTGGAAACAGGGAATCCAGGGCAGATGATCCCTTCAGGACCAGTGGCGTGAGTGGTGATACCGGGAGGGTAGAGGGAGAATGGGTTGGAAAGAGGGAACCGATTACAAGGATCTATATGTGACCTCCTCCATGGGGACGGAGAGCGGAAAAGTGGGTGAAGGGAGACGTTGGGCAGGGCAAGATATGACAAATTTATAGATTATCAAGGGCTCATGAGGGAGGGGGGAGCGGGGAAGGAAGGAGGAGAAAATGAGGACCTGATGCCAGGGGCCTAAGTGGAGAGCAAATGTTTTGAGAATGACGAGGGCAATGAATGTACAAATGTGCTTTACACAATTGATGTATATATGGATTGTGATAAGTCGTATGAGCCTCTAATAAAATGATTTTTTTTTAAAAAAGAAAGGCAGATTCAAAACTGATTTTAACATCCTTGGTTTGAAGTCTAGTTGCCCAGATAGTCCATTGCTTTGAGCAGTTGATAGGAGGGATACTTCTAGCTGCCCCTCATTTCAGGCAAGCTGTACATACCTAGAGGGAAACTTTTGTTTGCTAAATGATCTTTTTAGTATCATAGCTGCTCCTTGCCACTGCCTTATATCTGTACTCCTAGAAGAGGTTTCAAAAGTTCATGGAAAAAATTACTATCGTTTCATACCGTTTTCCTCTGAACTTTTTGAAGTGTTCCCTCTTATATTTGAGACAATCCTTCCTGTAAAGGTTCCTTAAGTTAAGGTGATTGTCTAGGAATGCTACTCCATTTCAGGGCAATCTTTGGCTCTTTTCCTCTTGAGCATCCCATGCTGTGGGACCATTAACTTGGCCTGAGAGTACTTTGAGCAGCTCTGTCACCACAGTACATACAGAAGACTGACAGTCCAGTCATGGAAGAGGGCTGCTGCCTAGGGCAGCCCAGTGTCATATTCTTTGTTCTCTCAGTCCTGTTTTAGTTGAACCTAAGGATTGCTTTTTTGGCAGTTTTTTTCCCCTTCCTGTAGGTAAGGAAGGCAGTATGTTACTCATACCTTTCTAAAGAAGATAAAGTGACTCCAGTGAGCTATGGGATTCAGGTTCCCATAAATCTCTCTCTCTCAAACACACACACACACACACACACACACACACACACACACACACAGACTTGGATGCTGGGCAGAGGGGGAGGTGAGGAAGAAAATTCAGATACGGTTAGAGAGGCCAGTCAAGTTCAGTGAATCGTTTACTAACAGATGGGGAGTAGACTGCTTGTAGAATACTTTTTTCCTCATATGGATCCTTTGTGTGTCTATGTTACTGTTATAAAGTTACTTTTACAACTTTGTTATTTGGTCTTTAAAGTTTTAAACTTGAAATATTTACTTCCAGAGTCATTCTCATAGTCACTCTTACGGAACGAAGAAGAGACCCTCTGGTGCCCATAAAGACCCACTGGTCAGTCCTTTGTGTGGTCTGTGTCTGCACGGTTGTCTTCTGCGGCTGTAAAGTTCACTGATAACTTTTAGGGGCTTAAGAATCAATGATTGCTTTGGTGTGCTTTGAAGGCACTTCTGAAACTTGATAATGTATTGGAACAGGCTGTATCAGAACCCCAATAAAATAATTTTGTTTTCATAGAGAAGATTTAGTATATTAATATGAGGGTGCTTAAAAATGTATGAAAAAATGGAATGAGATGACAATGGAATTCTTCCATGAACTTTTTGAAGCCTATTCCTATATGCAAACTCCAAGGGCTACAGTTGTATGGTGTTCCAAGAAGCTTGTTCACAACATGTCCGTATTTATGAACTAGCTTTTGGAGTAGAACTGAAGAATAGGCTTAGTGACAATCTCATCTTTGCTTTAGAAGTTTAATCTGATTTCATTTTAGTTTTATGTATCCTTAAGTTTGCTCCAACTCATGTAACCTTATGGATGACTCACAAGTTTCATTTGGAAAATTTGTAAGTCAGATTTTAGGAATGTGGACTATGTTTTGTAGGTCAGATTTTAGGAATGTGGACTATGTTTCCTGGCAGAAATAAAGTAATGATAGCAGAGCTTCCTGCTACCTTGGTGAAATCTCTGTAACCTATCCCACTCCACTGCCACTGAGCCCATTCCGATTCATAGTGACCCTGAGGAGGGTCACTATGTAAATGTTTATGGGAATAGGCAGCCTCATCTTTCTACTGTGGAGTGGCTGGTGAGTTTGAACTGCCAACGTTGAGGTTAGCAGCCCAGTGGCTAAACCACAGCACCACCAGGACACCTTCCTTTACCCTAGAAAGTAATTAAACTACAGAACTAATATTGTTGTCCATTCCTGCTATCTTGAAGATCCTTTCTGTGGGGGAAAACCCAATTGAGGCACCAGGGCATGTCTTTCCTGTAAAGGCAGTCACAGTACTGGCAAAAGAAGGTGCAGTGTGAGCTTCCTCCTGAAGTCAGGGTTCCAGGGAAGGGCTCTGGTCTTTAGTCGGGTGGGGAGATGCTGCTGAGACTTTGATTACTATGAGGAGTGGAGAATGTAAGAGAGAAGACTAAGGAGAGCCCTGGTGAGAAGTGAGTCATGCGTAGCCCCTCAGTGAGAGTGTTATGGGGAGTTGTGCTGGGAGACAGCGTCATCAGTGGAGGAGTTTTTAAGTCAGGAATTTTCTAAATGTACTTAATTAGCTTTGAGTAATTATATATATATATATATAAAACAACAAATAACATGTACATATAGAAGTTATTTATATATATATGTATATATATAAAACTAGGAAAATTGGGAGGTAGCTGTGCTCACCACTATACCACCCATGCTGCACATTAGCTAGGAAAACTGGAAAGGGAACTTTATGATGCCTTTCCCCCTCAGGTAAACACAGTGTACAAAGTTATTGTTCGTTTTGTGCTGTGTATTGAAAATGAAACGGCTGTTGATGTTTCAGACCAACTAGATTTAGCTCTTAAAAAAATAATGTGATTAGTTTATTTTGACATGTATTAAGGCGTGGCAAAATTTGGAACTATATTTGGAACCAACTGATTAATCATTTCTGTGGCTTTGCCAAATGGGTTATAAAAGCAGCAGTTATTTTCTGTGTTTAGCTTCCATTTTACATAGTATGTGCACACTTCTAACTTGCATAGCAGGCATAAGAAACCCAGGAGGGGGTTGCACTGGTTTTACATGATTTGCTGAAAAACAGGTTGTTGTCCGGGATTTTTCAAGTACATTCCTAAATATGTACTTGGCACTCAAATGAGTCACTTATTTCATTTTGATTTCACTGAGGGCTTATTATTTTTTTGTTTTTTTTTGTGAAGTTATGAAAAAAAAAAGAATGGCTTGGTTTAAAAACAGTTTGTCTTTAATACCAGTCTTTTTTGAGAGACTTGTAGTAATTATTATTTTGACCTTTACTCTTTTTTTTTTTTTTACCTTTACTCTTAATTGTGACCTAATTCTTTAAAGACATTGTTTTGGAGGAGAAAGGGTTTGGGAATATAAAGATTTACCTTTGTATGTTCAGACTGTTGGTGGTGTAATATTAACATGTATTCTAAGAAAAAATGTGTTTCGTTTGCTTTTTGCAGAGTGGCCTCTACTTTGACCAGAGAAACTATAGCAGTCTTAGACATAGCAAACCCACCTCTGTCTACCACACTCGGGTTTGTCTAAATATTTTGGATTTGTGTGTTCTATCCAAATTTAACCCATTGCTAATCCCCTTTGTATTTTGACTAGATAGAACTAACCTATTTATGATTGTGCATATATAGGCTGTCTTGTGTGTGTCTTTAAAGGGGGAGAGCTGCTGGATTACCCTAATTTTTAATAGTATTTTTTAAATGAGAATTTTCCAACATACAGTCAGCAGTTATTTGTTTAATATTGGGATTTGTTTAATATTTGTTTAATGCTTGCGTTTTGAAAGCGTTGCAACCTACACAGTTAAACTTTACATTGAGTGTATGAGCACAGTACATTTAACATCATTCACTTTGTAAATCCTGCATACTCAATTTTTATACTCTGTTCTCCATGTCTGATTGAGTTTGTGAGAACTGAAAATTGTGTCCTCAAATGATCAGGAAAGAAATTCCTTTTTAAAAGATGCCATGCCTTTAGTGTATGGAATTCATTATGACTGGTACAATTTATCTGCTGGAAACTAAGACACTTTGTCCATGGTTTCTTGTGAAAAATAGGTTTTCCTAGTCTTTGGAAAAGAGTGCCGGAGGCAATAACTCAGAGTTCATTTCTTTACCTGGTTCGCCAAGAACATGACGAAGCCCTTTAAGATTATATCACAGGATCATAGAAAATATCACATGTGCTGCTGTTGACTGAGGGGTCTGGCCACACTTTGCCATCCTTCCTTTCCCATGGGCCCCCTTTCTCAGCATCTTCTGAGTCCTGTCTCCTTATTCATGCTCAGACACCAACAGAATATAAACACACACATTTGTAGAAAACTGCTCTGAATGCTTTTCTTTCCTGTCCCTAAAACTGATGGTCTCAAAAGGTCTCTCTTTACTGACAAATATTTCTCACTTTTAAAGTATGAAATCATAAATGTAAGTCAGGTGAGCTCATGATGGTGGGACTAATATTCTTTCTCTTTCTCCTGCATATTTATTTTGTGTCTTAACAGTGTTCTTCTCTGTACAGTGACCCTCTAGCAACATCTAAGAGTAACAGGGTTAGTACTTTCGTACTTTCTGCCGGTGTGTGGCCTTCACAGCTACCAGTTATTTTTCTTGGTATATAACAGTGCACTTTTTCATAGGCCCTCCGAACTGCAAATTCTGGTCTCTCGAGAAGTGCCAGTCTGGTTTGTATTTTCCTCTGTGAGCATGTGCAATACTGGACATGCTGATGTTGTGTGCTGGCTCTGTCACTTGACAGCCTTCCTCCAAACTAGTCAGGGGCACATGACTCCATTGCCAGGTGTACTGTAGAGTGTGCTGCATCCGCTTAAAAACCAAAACTTGAGGGTGGTAAGAATAAACGTATTCCTTTCACAGACCAGGTAGATGCTGCTGACCATTGGTAGACCCTGGCTTAGAATCAGCTTCCTATCAAGGAGATAGACTTTTATCGGTCCTGCTGAATTCACATACTTTTTGTGAGATGGCTGCCCGTGCAAAGGATGCCTTCTACCCTTGGGACAGCCTGTTGCTGGGACCTCGGCCACATTAGTTTGGGGCGCTTTATTAAGCAAGGAGAGGCTAACCAGAAGGGCGAACAGTATCAGCTCTGGAATGTGCAAGCTGTGAGTTGGTTGTTTTCAGGCTATTGTTTGTTGTGACTTGGAGTGCACTCAAAACCTAAAGCTTTCTAACTTAGTTCTGTTGTGACAGGAATGAGCGGGTTTCTGTACTTCAGTTTCTTTTTGCTCTTTTGAGAGAATAAATTCTTAAGTATTAGTTCTCTTTGTTTTGTTTTATCATGAGAATATAAAGGAAATACAAGATGACTGTGTGAAAATGTTTAAGTTGTAATGAGACTGATGTAGGAATTTATGCATGTTAACTGAGTGTTACATTTTTCAGTCTTCATCTTGGGAAGGCATGATTATTCTTCAAAACTTTTTTTGGAACTCAGTACTACAAAGAAGTTATGTTACTTTAAACATACCTCTGATGCAAAATAGATAAATTGCGTTTCCTTTTTTCTTTAGGCATCTTTGTATGATGGTGGATTATATAGCCCATATAGGTCTCGAACTGTAAGTCTAACCAGCGGGAGATAGTGAAAAGGTTGATGATTTAGGTGGGCTCATTTATTTACAGTGAAGAAGTCATTTAATCTGATTTGTCATTACTCTATGAATAAGAGCCATGCCATTTATGACTTTCACTGTCCCTAAGCTGTGAGAAGAGAACCTTCTGGAAGTCATGGTTTAAAGTATGAAGTGGGTACAAATAGAAACAAATAGAAACATCCTCTTTCCCTGCTGAGGGGGAGGATGGGAGCAGCACTTCTTAGAACACCCCTTTCTTTCTTTCTTCCCTCTTGTAATGGGCTGGTTGATCTGTGGGTGGAAGTGAGGTAGAGTACCAGACCAGGTGAGGTTACCTCCACCCTGGGAACCAGGGTCATATGTTCCTAGCGGGAAAAGGAGCTGTCTGCTGTTGTAAACCTTTCTTTTTGGAAACTTTATAGCCCTCTGAATACAGTTATTACTCCTCAAGAACAAGTTCAACTCGAAGCAGTCCTGTGGTGAGCTGTTGAGTCTTGTTGCATGCTTTTCAAAACTTTTTGGTTGTTTCATTAATCTCTACTCACAGTTTGGAATATTATAGATGTGATGTGCTGCACTCCTGTGCCTGGATTATAGCTGTTCCTCAGCACACAAACTCAAGCACTAATTTGTCCTAATTGGTGGTTTCTGGATGAATGCAATTTTTAAAAACAAGTCTGCACTCATGTCATTAAAATTCCTGTAACTTTTAATATTTAATTGACATTCATGTGGAACATACTGTCTTTTTGTGGTGATGCCATGCCCTTAGTGTATGGAATTCATTATGACTGGTACAATTTATCTGCTGGAAACTAAGGTACTTAGCCTATGCTTTCGCTCTCTTTATTTTTTTAACATTATGCTATCTCATGTCAGCTTCTCAAATTTTTAATGTAAAATACAATAGAGATAGTTCTAATCATAGAACCTTTCTGGAGTACTAGAAATATTTTTAATTTTTAAGGAACGCCCATAATAAAAGTTCTCTGACCCTCCTCTCTTTTCATTCCCCAATCTTTGTTGTTATGTATATTCTAGAGATTTTTATCCAGTTTTGAATGTCCTTTATTTTGAATACAAGTGAGGGGCTTCAAAAGTTTGTTGAAAAGTGGAATTAAGAGAGAATAGAGTTTTTCCATTAACTTTTTAAAGCTCCTTCCTACATACCACGCTCTTTGATATTTAAAAGTTTGTTTTTTTTTAAAGTAAGCCATGCTGCTTTTTTTTTTCTTTCACTTACTGTCTTTTGGAGATTGTTTTCTATTAGTATTAGTATACTTATTAAAAGAGAAATATATTATCTCTAGTGTATAGACTATACATTTAAAAATTCTTCTTTTTTTGCTACTACAAAACCTTGTACAATGAGCATTCATATCCAAGTATATTTTTTGTGCACTTATGAGTAGATCAGAAAAATAAATTGTTAACCATAAAATGATGAGACCAAAGAGCATATGCATTTAAATTATTATATATATATTGCCACTTTGCCCACACTGTATTAATTACATACCCCAAAGCAAATGAGACTTTAAAGTGGTTTCTTTTCTTTTTTTTAATCATTTTATTGGGGGCTTGTGCAACTCATCGCAATCCATACATCCATCCATTGTGTCAAGCATATTTGTACATTTGTTTCCATCATCCTTCTCAAAGCATTTTCTTTCTACTTGAGTCCTTGGTATCAGCTCTTCATTTTTCCCTCCTCCCTCCCCCCAAAGCAGTTTCTTAATGGCCAAGTGAGATTAAATTTTGGAGTCCATTAGTTGAGTTTTACGGGCCTTCTTTCATATCAGTATGCCTGGCTCATTCTCATATCATTTCCAAAACGTTTTTCTAAGATGACCAGCCCTATATTAAAAAGAAAAAAAGGAAATCACGCAGGTGTTTATTGTTGAAGACTTTTTTTACATAATAAAGGAGTTTGTTTTTAACTTACCCTACTCTTTCAAAAATAATTTTATTGGGGGCTCTTACAAATCTTTTAACAATCCATCACTCAATTGTATTAAACCCACTTGTATGTATGCTGCCATCAACATTTCCAAAACATTTTCTTTCTATTTGAGCCCTTGTTAACCTACTCGTTAATACGATTTTACATTGTTATAATTCTTAGACTGGGTCACACAGTTCATGTATCAAGTATGGTTGCCCTTTGCACACAAAATGGTAAACTATTTTCAATCAAGTGTAGAATCGTGTTCATATTTTATTTGTAAGTAAGATTCAGAGTTCTTATTTTAGTGATGTCAGAATGGTTCCTAAGTGATGCTAGAAGCGTGGTCAGAATGGAGAGAAACTAGATGCTGGAAGATGAATCTTCTGCTGATGAAGTAGACAGGAGTTTGCTTCAAGAAGGGTGCTGTTGGAAATACTTCTACGAGTTGCATAGCAGTGAATGAAGGAATATAAGAATGATCATTTAAGTGTTCTAGCTGGTAGGAAATTCTGCCTTTGACATATTATTTAGTATTTTATTTTCTTTTTTCCCCTCACAAATGAAAATATGAAATATACAAGAGGGCTTCAGAGAAGTTCATGAAAAAAAAAATTCCATTGTCTTTAAATCCCATTTTTCCATGGACTATTTGAAGCCCTGTTGTATTTCTTATTTGACCTCCTTGGTGTGGGATCCCAAAGAGTTGGGCTTGGAGGTTCAAAATCTCTAACTGGTTTTAGTCAGTTTACTAATTACCACCCACTCCAATTTAGCTTAAATAAGGAATAAATTTCTATTTCATCTTTGTTCTTTTTGGATTTTTTTTTTTTGCTTTTTCTTAACAAAAGTATATTACACTCAGAAACAACCTTTTCTGTTTAATGATGCAATGTAGATCATGCTAATGATAATGCTTATATGGCCTATTTATATACTTCCCCAAACCATACCAACTGTGTTTGCAGTCTGCCAAGATCTGAAGTGAAGCTCTGTCTTTTTCACTATCTGCTTTTCATATCTATAGTTTACCGACGATGACACTGAGAGCATTGTGTCTTCAGGTCGTGCCAGTTGTGGGCGAAGAGAGAGTGTGGTGAGCAGGGCCGCATGCAAATGTGATCATTTAAAAATCATAGCACTGTCTTATTGCATGGTCTCCATTGGAAAGTGAAATATGCTTTTAATAACATGAACAGTTTCTTCAAAAATGTTATCCTGAGAATCCACATTCTTGGGGGATTGTGTACACTTTCGTTAATAACGTGCCTTTTCATACTTCACAGTGTAAGTCATTGGGTATTTCGGAGTTTTCATTTTTTTTATTCCTTGTTGATATTGTATGTATGCACTTAGGTACACTTATTAAAAAAATTTTCTCAAAAACTTCACATTGTGTAAAAAGCTCTTAAGTACATTGGTGAAGTTGGTGTTAGTTTGGAGCAGTGTTTCCCAAAGTAGGCACTGGGACAATACGGGGGTGGGGGGTGGGGGCGGGCTGCCAAAACACACCCCTGCACTTTATCCAGGATTATGCACAATGAGAAAACATTTTTCATTGCCAAGGGGCCAGTGAGTAATTTTTTTTTCCCTTTGAAAAGGAGGCCAAATAAATTTGAGACTTTATGGCTTAGAGCTAGAATTAAGATCCCTGGAGTCAAGAGGCTGTTATCCTCTTAGGGAAAATAGAAAGCCTTTTCATGTAAGTTATGGTATGTGGAAAATTGCAAACTGGAAATTATATTTCATAGAGAAAAGGAACACATGTATATAAGAGATTGCTGGTTGGAGTCCTTGTGTGTGTTGCACATGGTTTAATACCAAAGGCTGGAAGTTCAGGTTCCCCCAGAGGTGCCTTTGAAGAAGGTTTGGTGGTCTACACCCCCTAAATCAGTCTTGGAAGCCTGTGGAAGAATGGAAGACCGTTTTCTCCTATGAGACATACGTGCTTGCCCTGAGTTGGTGTCAACGCTATGGCAGCTGTATTGGTTGGTTTTTTTCTAAACCAGTTAGTGTTCATGTTCATAGATGAAGGAAAGAGACAGGTCACAGGAAAGCACCGTGTAAAGTGATGGAAAGGAAAGATCAGGGACTTAAAATAATGACACCTGGACTTGAATCCACTATTAGTTGTATGAATGGCAATTTTCAAACATACAGTCAGATAGGTTATCACTATCTTTGTAGGCAGAGTTAATATACAGTTTTTAAAAATTACTATGTAAAAATAGCTTCCACCATTCTAGAATAGTAGGTGCCCAGTACAGTGTAGGTATCTGTAACCACGACATCCGAATTTCCAACCTCCTGAGCTGCTCCATGGGAGAGATGAGGCTGCCTGCTCCTGCAGTGATGGACGGTCTCGGAAACCCTGTGTGTGGGCACTAAGAGTTGGAACCAACTCTGGCAGTTGGTTTTTTGTTTTTGTTTTTATTAAAGAGTTGTGGTAGCACAGCGGTTGAAACACTCAGCTGTCAACCAAAGGTTGGTGGTTTAAACGCACCAGCTGCTCCTTTGAGAAAGATGTGGCCGTCTACTTCAGTAAAAATGAGTATCTTTGGAAAACTATGAGGCAGTTCTAATCTGACCTACAGAATTGCTCTGAGTTAAAATCGACTTTATAGCAATGGGGTGGAAATCTAAGTTGTATTATATTAAAACTAAGTTGTATTAAATAAAAACACTCCTGCTTGATTGTATTAGCCCTTAGAAGAACTTCATGTTATAAGCTTGCTTTATTTCTGTAGATGGGTTTCAGAATTTCCTTCCAAGAGAAACAGCTAAGATAAAGAATAGCTGACGAGTGAGGTACAAACAGTTCAATAAATGTTTGTGTAGCACTTAATATATATGAAGCACTGTTTTCAGTGCTGGGAATGATGTGGTAAACCAGGCAGACCATATTTCTGACTTTATGGAGTTTATATCCCAGAGAGAGAGAGAAAATAAGTGAGTAAAGAAAGGAACGAAAAAGGAACATATCCCAAGGACTGAGAAGGGAAAATAGGCGCATGTAGTAGGGATCATTGAAGGGGTGGGTCAGAGAAGGCTTTTCTGAAGAACTGACTCTTGAGCTGAATCCTGAAATGTGAGATGAAGGAACCACTTAGTTTAGGAGCTCGGAAAAAAGAGCTTTGGGAGCAGGTGCCAAGGCCTAAGATGGAACGGGTGTACTGTATTTGAAAACCCAAAGGCGGTCCACGCTGTCTCCTGACTTTCATGATTTTCATACAGTTCCTGTATGTGGTTAACTGAATTGGTAGTTAATGAGCTACACATTTGTCTAGTAGAGGCTTTAGGTAGACTTCTATCCTAGAAACACTACTGCTAAGGGTGGTGCACGTCTTAAACACAGGAGACTTACTGGACCTCATGCACTAAATGATCTATAGCATAGACTTCTAGTTAAAAGCTTATTTTAAGGAGTTGCTAGATTATTTAGGAACCTATTTTCTTTCTCTTTTGAGTAGGTTAATTGTCGTGTTTCCACATTTCACTTCATGATAGCCTATCATACAACTAAAATTTTAAAAGATTCCCTGTATACCAATGGTTTTAACTTTTCCTTTTTTTAACTATTTATGGCCCAAAGGTTTCTGCTGCTGATTATTTTAGCCGCTCCAATCGTAGGGGCAGCATTGTCTCTGAGGTGGATGACACCAGTATCCCAGATTTGACCAGTGTGAGTGTATTGCATGGAGTGGTCATATTGTATCACAACTTGTGTCTAATGGCTAACACTTCAAGATTTTGAAATTAGGGACTTAATTTACTGCTTTGGAAGCGTTTGGCTATATTAACATGAATATGTATACAAATAGTGATACATATCTTGATGTGTTCTGATTTTTAAAAAAAAGATCTGTGGAAACTTGCCCCATGGAACCAGTTTTGGTAATTGTCAAACTTCATTGCTACTGTTATTTCACCCATTTCTTACTCCTCCCCTCTTTTTTACCCTTAAATTATTTTAAAGAAAATCCTAGATGTATTATTTTACTTAGTTTAGTGTGCATCTCTGAGAATTTTTTGTGCCATTATGAAATTTAAAATAATTTCTTAATATCTCACATGCAGCATGTATTCAGATGCTCTTGATAAATTTTGTCTTCCTTCTGGTTTTAGTGATTATGTAAAATTTTAGATAGCCTTTGAAAGGTAGCGCTATGTAGGTCTCACTAACGTCTTATAACTAGGAAGAATCTGAGTGGATTACAGCATTATCTGAAGTCAGGAAAGAAAGACTAGGTAGAGATGCCCTGGTACATTTGTTATCCTGATGGAACCCCAGCCAGCAGATCAGGACCTACCTGATCTTGAAGTCACTGCCCAGTTTCCTTTTGTGACACCACCCTTCATTGCTGGCATTAGTGTTGTTTTGCCCAAGAACCCACACTGTCCTGATTATTGAGCGCTTTGGGAGGGAATGAGAGGCATTGTTTAGAAATTAGAAAAGCTACAAGTGAATTTTTAAATGAAGAGGTAGCAATGATTTTTAACTAGCCCTCCACTGATTATCATAAACTGCCATAGAGTCAATCCCAACTCATAGTGAGCCTATAAGGAATTGACTTGATGGCAGTAAAGTTAGTTTGCAGTTTTTTAATGATTATATTTTAATAGCAATTTCTGATCTAATTTAATCCCAATATGTAATTTAAGTGTGGTTTTTAATTATTCTACACACTTAACATGAAGCTTTATAAAACAGATACTCAATTCTTCTAAAATATTGTCTAATTGTTTGGTTAGCACCCTTTTTCTTCATAAGTGTAGACAATTAGATTTATCGTGTATACTTTTTCTCTTACAAACTTTGGATTCTGTCTGCCTTTAATTTATAATTCCTGTATTAGTGATTATGCCCTTCTTATACTTAACTCCTTGGCAATATATTTTAGTGACTACATAGAAGTAAAAAGGTTAATAGTTTTTTAAAATGTCTTGCCTTCTGCTAATTAAATATCCTTTGATATAAACACACAATTCTAGAGCAAGAGTTGGCAAATCTGATGAGCTCCATTAAAAAAAAAACATACTGTGAGCCAATGACTTTTATATTTTTAAATAGTTTTATGAGTACCTATGTAAGCCCTAGTGGCACTGTGGGTTAGGCACTGGGCTCTTAGCCACAGGGTCAGTGATTCAAACCCACCAGCTGTTCTTTAGAAGAAAGATGAAGCTGTCTACTCCTGTAAAGACTTATAGTTTCAAAAACCCAATTGAGGGTCATTATGTGTCAGAGTTGACCTGATGGCACTGGGTTTTTGTTTTATATACTATCCTGAACTCTTGGCTCTTGGGAAAACCTAAAAATTTGACAGCCCCATTCTCTAGGGCAAGTAGCTTTCTCTATATGTCCTTTAAAGGGTACACTATACTTTGTTAGAGACTTGTGAAAAGTGGACTTGACTCCTCTCTTTTCCACTTTTTAGAAAATAGCTGGAGATAAGAATTTTCAAGTAATACCCTGATTTTAAAATACTGACAATGAATTCACAATTTTAAATGACACTTACTGGCTGCTTTTGTGGCCTCAAAATTTGTTTGTAAGATGCCGGTTTATAATTTCTGAGCTTGGAGGTGCTGATAATGGCTATCAACTCTTGATTGGACAAGACTAATGATAGAGTATTTAGGTTTGCTGTAGTTCCTTGTCAGTTGTTGCTATGTTTTAGCCCATTGCTGAAGTCAGTCCATCTCATTGAGGGTTTTTCCCGTTTTCACTCACTTTCTAATTTACTGAGCATGATGTCCGTATCTGGGGACTAGTATCATCTGAAAACATGCCCAGAGTACATTAGATGAAGTTTGGCCCAGATGGACAGTGGGCCCCTGCACAAGTACTCCCCCAACACAAGAACACTTTGTTCTAACAATTCGGCAGTCTGAGATGCTCATCTGCCTGGCATGATCGCCGGCTGCACAAGAAAATGTGAAGAAAGCGGATGATGCTTGGCTACCAAAAGATATAACACCTGAAGTTACTGAAGACAATGGGTGCACAAGCAAGTGTGGTGAAGAAAGCTGATGGTGCCCAGCTACCAAAAGATATAGCACCTGAAGCCTTAAAGACCTGAAGATAAACAAGCAGCCATCTAGCTAAGAAACAATAAAACCCACAAGGAAGAAGCACACCAGCCTACCCCGACACGAATGCTGAAGACAAAGCGGGTGCATAAGCAAATGTGGTGAAGAAAGCTGATGGTGCCAAACTGTCAAATTACACAGAATCTGGGGTTCCACGTGCTGGAAGATAAACAAGGGGCCATCTAACTGAGAAAAAACAAAGCCCACATGGAAGAAGCACACCAGCCTGTAAGATGACAAGGTGGCAAAGGGGTCAGGTATCAGGCATCCAAGACACACTCCCTCCCCCCCAAAAAAATCATAACATTGTGAATGAGGGAGAGTACAGAGTGGGGACCCAGGGCCCATCCCGGGGAAATTGGACATCCCCTTGCAGAAGGGCTATGGGGAGGAGAGCAGCAAATCAGAGTGCAGTGTAGTAACGATGAAATGTGCAATTTTCCTCTAGTTCTTAAATGCTCCCCCCCTCACTACCATGATCCCAATTCTGCCTTGCATATCCGGCTGGACTGGAGGATGTGCACTGGCACAGATAGGAACTGGAAATACGGTGAACCCAGGACAGATGAACACCCCCAGGAGTGGAGGGAGGGTGAGGGAAAAAGGGAATAGATGACAATGTCTGCATATGGACTCCTCCCTGGGGGACAGACAGCGGAGAAGTGGGTGAGGGAGACATTGGATGGGGTAAGGTATGATAAAATAATTTATAAATTTCCTTGGGGAGGGGGGAGCGGGGAGGGAGGGGAAAAATGAGCTGACACCAAGGGCTCAAGTGGAAAGTGGGTGTTGTGAGAATGTTGAAGTTAACATATGTACTAATGTGCTGGACACAAATGACGTATGTACAGATTGTGATGAGTTGTATGAGCCCCTAATAAAATGATTATTTAATTTAAAAAAATGATGACGTTTGGCCATTCATGCTTCTAAAGAGCAAGCATTCTGGCTGTACTTCTCAGACACATTTATTTATTCTTCTGCATGTTCATGGAACTCTCTTTTTTTCCCCTTTCGTTATAAAATCATTTTATTGAGGGCTCAAACAGCTCTTGTCACAATACATAGATACATACATACATAGTGTAAAGCATATTTGTACATTTGTTGCCATCCTCATTCTCAAAACATTTTCTTTCTACTTAAGCCCTTGCTATCAGATCATTTTTCTCCTCTCCCCTACTCTTCTTCCCTCACAAACCCTTGATAATTTATAAATTATTATTATTTTGTCATGTCTTAACACTGCCTGATGTCTCCTTTCACCCACTTTTCTGTTGTCCGTCCCTCAGGGAGGGGGTTATATGTAGATCATTGTGATTGGTTCCCCCTTTCCACCCCACCTTCCCCTTCCGCTCCTGGTATCGCTACTCTCATTATTGATCCAGATGGGTTTATCTGTCCTGGATTCCCTGTGTTTGCAGCTTTTTTTTTTCATCGTTTTATTAGGGGTTCATACGACTCATCACAATCCATACATACATCAATTGTGTACAGTACATTTGTACATTCATTGCCCTCGTCATTCTCAAAACATTTGCTCTCCACTTAAGCCCCCGGCATCAGGTCCTCATTTCCCCCCCTCCCTCCCCACTCCCCGCTCCCTCATGAGCCCTTGATAATTTATAAATAGTTTATTTTGTCATATCCTGCTCTGCCCGACGTCTCCCTTCACTTGTACAGCCTTTGGAGCACTTTGGCCCAAGACAGTAACATCATTTGCTTTCCTGATAGCTCCTTCCATGGTCATTGATTGTAGCTCCAAGTTAAATGAAATCCTTGACAATTTCAATCTTCTCTGTTTATCTTGATGTTGCATGTGATATTAATGATACTGTTTAATAATGTTTAATAACATTTTGTTTATCTTTCTGTGAATATATGAATCTCTTCCAGTGAGTTAGCCAGATAGCTGTCTTCTGAATTGTTTGGCAGAGCTGAGTAGGCACTTCCAGCATTGCATTTTGCTTTAGGAGATTATTAATTATTCTTTGCTTTGGCTGAGCATCAGATTTTCTTTTTTTCACTTCTTTAAGAATCCAGTTACTACATTGAAGAAACTGTACAATAAATATTTGATTAGACTAGTATACCTTTATACCCTCTTATTATTTAACATAATTAAATTTTATTTTATTTCAAAGCCTTTTCTCTGTCTGAGTGTCATCATTATGAACAGTAGCTTGTCATTTCCTGGCAGCTGTGTGGACTTTGTGGCTCCTGCAGCTCCAGGGACTTTTAGAACATCAGCGACAGCACAAAATTGCAGTCTCAGGAGTGAGAAATGAAGAGTCTCTGGCCAAGTCACTGCAGCCAAAATGACTGGGCTGCGGCATGGCTGCTCTAGGTATTTTTGCTGCTTTAACAATCCTTGAAGTTTGGCGCATGATCAGTTTGGATTGCGACAATTGGGATCTGACAGAAGATCCCCGCATAATCATCATTTTGTTGAACTAGTTCAGTGTTGCAACCCCTGAGATGCAAGACTGTTTCCAGTTGTTTGTTCATTAAAAAATGGGTGAGTTTGGGGGTCATTTTCTGAGAGGTGATATGAAGAAGGATTGATTTCAATAGTCTTAGCAAGAATGTTTATCTTTCTTAATGCTGCTTGCTTTTCTCTTTAACTCAGTAGCAGACAAGAGTTAGAAAATGTTCTGAAGGGACTAATCCAGTTTACTCAGATGTAAGACCTCTTTCACCTTTAAGGATACGGTGTTAATAGTAGCCTGTGTTTTTGCTAGTATAGATGTGATAGGGATTGTTCCTTTTTATTGCAGTAACTCAGTTACTACTGGAGAATACGTTGTAATCACTTATCTGTTTTAGAACATTCTACATGCTGTAAAATTTTCATATTATGGCAATTAGGTCTAAAATAGTATTCCCTTTACTAAGACACTGGTGATCATCATAATAAAATGTTTGCTGAGAGAAAATGAGCATGATGATTATGAGTGGAAAAAAAAGAAAACCTGTAAAAACTTTTGAACTTTTATGGTGAAGTGATGTGAATAAAGCTAGAAAGAAGAATATTTTATGCTTCAATAATTAATTGAGGAAGATTTTCAGACATATTGTCTAGATTGGGCTAGGTGGGAAGGTTGAGCTAGGAATTGGATTCTGGATGTATTTTCATTTAGTTAAAACCCTATGAAACTTCTTTTGTTCCTGGTGGTAATTAGGACAGCGTTTGAAAGTAAATAGTATAAGCACTGGGATTAAAAATCATAAAACTGAGGTTAGATTCAGTTCTGCTATTTGTGTCAGCCAAGTGTTGAACCTGAGTTTCTTTGCCCTCAGCTGACCAGGTTAGGATTTAGACTGGACCGTTAAGGTTCCTCCCTTCCGAAAACACTTTGTAGAACAACCTTAAGGCTTATTAGATGATTGATTATCTCCATTATGGCATGTCCAGATAATAGGATACTGTGCAGCTCTTACAATAGCTGAAATTTAAATTACTGCTCAGGTATAACTCTTATTCTCACTTATCCAAAATAATTTGAGTTATTTTGTATGCCAGGTGCCATTCTTGGTATTAGGAACACAGGGAAGAATAAGACAGACATTAACCTTGTAGCCTGGAGATCATACAACAAATAAATAAACATCACAGTGCTAGGTAATGATAAATGCTGTAAAGAAAAATGAGTTACAGTACTTTCTGTAATCTCTGGGATGTGTAAGGGGAGTAAAGAGATGTACAATGTGTGTATGTTAGTATTGTTAGGCATTTTAAAAGGTTGGAGATTTCTTGCGTTTGCAGTGAGAGATTGGAGGTGTGACATAGTATGAAGAGAGGTCAGCTACTCATATCCTTTTCTGTGAATTTATTTTAGGTGGAAGGACTACATATGTATGTATTGAACAGCTTATTCCTTAATGCGATAGTAGACATTTAAAAAATAATTTGTCTTTGTTATAGTTGCTGAGAATACACACAATAAAATATGTACCAGTTGGACAATTTCTACATGTACCATGAAGTGACATTGATTACATTCCTCAAACGTGAAACCACTTTCAACATCTTTTTCTGAATCATTTCTACCCAGTTAATATAAACTCACAGCTCTCTTACGATTTCCTTCCTATCTAACCTCTCAAGTTGCTATTGTCGATTTGATCCCATATGGTTCTTTAAAAGAGTACAATTTTCAAGGTAGACATTCTTTCTAAATTAAGCTAAACTAGTACTTGGTTTGAAGAAGATGTCAGGGGACATATTTGATTTAAGGTTTAAAGATTATCTCAGGGCCATAGTTTTTGGGGTTCATCCAGCCTCCATGATTCCAGAAAGCCTAGATTCCATGAGAATCTGAAATTGTAGACTATTTCCTCCTGTCCTCCATAGAATCTTTGCTCAGAATGTCAGTTGTGGTAGCTGGGCACCATACAGTTCTTCTGATCTCATGGCAAAGGAGGACAGTTATTTATGGACTCAGATAGCCAAACATTTCAGGGAAAATTTTTTTGATGATATATATGACCCCCGCTACATTCTAATCTGAACTTTTTTGCTTAATTGTTGTCTTAACCAATGCGCCTTGTGTCCTAATAATGTTTTAAAATAAAAAAATTTGATTGTTGGTTTCATGACACTTTCCTTCTTTGAGATGTACAAGATTTTTTGCGTATAAATATTTGTGCTACTAACCCGTTTATGTGTAGTTTTCTTTAATGTGTTTTAAATAGCATAAAAAGAAAATATACCTAAGAGGAGATGATACTAAGAGCTCAAGCAGAAAGAAAACATTTTGAAAATGATGATGGCAACACATTGTACAAATGTGCTTGACACAATTGATGTTTGGAGTGTTATAAGAGCTGTAAGAGCCTCCAATAAAATGATTTATTAAAATAAAAAAGATGATGGCAACATCAACAAAAAAAAAGAAGAAGAAGAAGAAAATATACCTAATAATCCTAAGCTATTGAGTAGGCACAGTTTGCTTACTTCATGTTTTTCTTTTTCTTTAAAAAAAAAAATAAAAAACTTCATGTCTTAGGATGAGAACAAATGTTCTTGACATTTTGTTTTATATTCTTTGACTTTCAGTTTTAGTATGTTTATTTTAGGTCCCAAACTTCTCTGAACTTGGAAAACTCAAATGAGTCATCCCCACCCCACCTCCCCGCCAAAACCATGCCAAGCATCTTTCCTGATTTTTATCTCTGTTTTTTTCTAGTTGGATGAAAAATCTGACAAACAGTACGCTGAAAATTACACAAGGGTAAGTATATAAATTCCTAAGGGAATTAAGTTCCCAAGGTCAATTAATCTTCTCTTTTATTCTTTAATATACTACAGTTGGACTTCAGATGAGCTCCTCTTCCTCCTTTCCTCTGTTTCCTGTACTTGACCCCCTAAAATTCCTTTGGAGTTGAATCATGGGAAGAGAAAAGGCACTGGAGCCGATTTTCTTGCATGTCCCTTGTGTAGCTTTTGGCTGCTTTTGGAGTTCTATTCCTCTGGAAATTGATCCTGAGATGCCATTAAACACTGACAATAAAATGGATTTTAGGAATGGTGGTGACACATTCGGAGCTCTGTTTTTCTTTTATAGATGAGCTATTTCTTTAAGAAAGAAAATTCGTTTCTAGGAGTTCCTTTGAATAAAAGTTTCTTTCTTCTGGAATTAGTTTTAGGAAGTCATCTATGAAAAATTATTTGACAATTAATTTTATGCTATACCCTAGACAAATACACCTGTTTGGTCCAATAAAATACTAAAATAATGTGAGCCATGAATGTATGCCACATATGCAATTTTAAGTTTCTTAGACGTAGTTCCATGAAATAGGTACAAAGAAAGCAGTTTAAAAAGTGCAAATAGGTAAAAATTTAAAAAATAATGAATTTTACTTTATCCAATATATCCTCCAAAAGGTTGTATTTCAACATGTAACCCATATGAAAAGTTGTTATAGAAAGTTTTTTCATCTAATCCCAGTACTAATACTTAGAAATTTGGTTTATATTTTATGCTTTAAAACTTTGGACTAGCCACATTTGAAATGCTCATAATCAGTGGCTCAATTCAACCTCACTACCATTGACCCAGTTCCATCTCAGTAGGACAAGGGAAAACTGCCTTTGTGGATTTCCAAGGTTATAACTCTTAACTCTTTATGGGAGTAGAAACCTTGCTTCCTTTCACAGAGTGGCGGTAGTTTTGGATGGCTGACCTGGAGGTTAGCTGCCCAACTTGTAACCAGGGCTCCTTAATGAGTGACTAATGGTTAGTATATTGGACAGTACAGTTTTATACCATTTACTAATTAATAACACTCTTATTTTTAAACTAATAGTGGGGCGAGCAGCCTAAATTTATAGTTGTTCAGCTGCAAATAGTATCGCCAACTTAATCAGCAGTGTATTAGAAACAGATTTTTAAGATGCAAGTTTAGGAATTTAAGAGGGAGACTACTAAATAAGCATACCAGTTGTAAAGTTTTAAAATTATTTATCTTAAAGTAATCTGATATGCTTATCCCCATATTGTTTACAATATGGCAAGATAACTTCAAATACAAACATACATCTCCCCCACAAAAAGCAGTCCTATTTTAATTACTGTCAATTATGAATGTGATCAGGAGTTTGAGTTGCTATACGTGCTGTGGCTTTGAGCCCTTCTCTCGACACTCCTTGCCCGAAGGCCATATCCATTGCCTGTAGCGTGTGCTTGTGCCTTTTCCATCCACACGGTGTAAATATGTGCCACCTGAACCCAAGACTGTTTTCTAGTACTTTTCTGGGCCCCATTTTTATTTGCACAGCGAATGTATTTTGGAAGAAACAAAATTTGGATGTGTCATCTTTTTTCCTCCCTAGCCTTCATCTCGAAATTCTGCCTCAGCGGCAACCCCTCTAAGTGGGAACTCTTCCCGACGAGGAAGCGGGGACACCAGCAGCTTAATAGATCCAGACACCTCATTAAGTGAATTGCGGGTAAACGGCAATTTTTGGATTGTTTTTTCAAAACAGCCTTTGGCCTCTTTGTAGTAATCTGTAACTTTTAACTTCTAATGTGATTTAGTAGGGAAAATAAAGTTAATGTAGTTTAAAAATGTGACCTAGATGTTTCTAAAAGGAAGGCAACTGTGTGGTTTTCTCTCTCTCTTTCTTTCTGCTAATTCACAAATGCAAAAAGCTTGGTAAAATATGTAGAAGTAATTTTCTCAGAAATAATTGAGCATATTTTAAATGGAAAATATGTGAGGGTATAGGGAACCAGACTCTAGGAATTGTTAGTCTTTTGAGCCATTATTTTTTTATTTTTTGATCCATTTTTTAATGATAATAGAGGTGTAATAATAGTTTCTGTAATAGAAATGCCTGAAGATAATAAAAAACACATTTAACCCATTTGTTGAGTATAAATCCTTGTTGAAAGTGTAAAATGTAAAATTATATTTGAATGACTTTTTGTGTAACTTACTGTGTGTTAGGAATGGGGTAGGGGTTGTGAGAAAACTTAATTCATTCCTTCAGTACCATTCCCACTTGGCCCTGTAGATACAGACAGTAAAACAGAGTGGCATTCAGGAGCTAACCATCTCATAAGAGAGGCAAAGTGGTAAAAACCAGTAAAACCAGGTCGGGTAGGAATTAGGTTATTGCAAACATACCCTGTTTCCCCCCAAATAAGACAGTGTCTTATATTAATTTTTGCTCCCAAAGATGCACTGGGTCTTATTTTCGGGGGATGTCTTATTTTTCCATGAAGATGGTACACATTTACTGTTGACCAAAATAAAAGAAATTTCTTACCTGTATATGGTACAGTGGTAGTTGTCATCACAAACCAGCAAAACCAGACAAACTGTGAATCCTACAGTATCAAGAATTTCTTGTTACTACCATTATTTCCATGTATAACAATCTAGGGTACATTTACTCATAATCTATGGTACATTTACTTGCACTTCCTGTCTGCTCCAGCTGCGCTGCAGCCAACAGTGAGCTGGGCAGCGCCGCCCACCGCTGCAGTCCAGAGTCCAGAGTTATGGTAGTGTCGGGGGGCCTTATGTTTGGTGAGGTCTTATTTTCGGGGGGATGCCTGATGTTTCAGCGAAAGGAAAAACTGTAAGTAGGTCTTATTTTCGGGGGAACACGGTAGATCCACTTAAGGAATACAAGAAACCTCATTTGAATTGGATTAGGAGAAGAGGTAACAAGGTTTTTCTTAGGAGACAGACTCTGAGCTTCGGTTTGAAGGAAGAATAAAAATTCACAAGTAAAGAGACTCTGACACTCCTACACTGGAGTGGGAGGACTTTTTCAAAGGGCTTCATGTAGAGGACAAGAAGATGATCTGTACATCACCGTTGGCAACGGGAGGGAAGATGGGATTGGAGAGCAGCAGCGATGGCTGAGAGAGAAGAGTGGAGCAGCAGTAATGAGGAGCCACATCATGGAGTACTCTTTTATGCCGGTCTGATAGAACGTCAATTTTACCTACAGTTGTAGGTTATTAAATAAGGGTCTGATGCTGCTTGATTTATATTTTTCAAGATAACTTTGATCATGGTGGAGGAGGCCAGGAGAACACTAGTGCAGGTTCTGTATGAGGAGGGCATTGAAGTGGAATATGCTCTGAGAGGGCTTTTAGATACCAAAGACTGAATGGTGACACATAGTGAGTGATTTGATATGAGGGTAGGGAGGAAAAGGAAATAGAAGAAATCATAGATGTCTTTTAGATTTCTGGCTTGGATGGCAGGACCAGGCATAACCGCATTGTCAGATCTGGCAGCAAGATGGACGATATGGACAAGTGTAGGGGAGGGGGTGATGAGGTGGTCTTTCTTGGCAGCATGCGTCTGGAGATGCTGCATTATCCGGAAGGCAGATGAACTGGGAGTTATTTTTTGTGCCTCTGGGAGTTGAATCATGGGAGATTGATCGTTCTTTTTCACTGTCTCTCCTACACGTACCACATCACGTCACTAACTCAGGGAGAAAGGAAACTTAAAAGAGAGAAACAGAAGGATGGAACCCTGGGATGTACCCACACTTCAGAATCCGATGATAGTCACTCAGAGCATAAGCAAGGGAAGTGGCTAAATGCCTAAGAACCTCATCTGGGCCCATGAGCTTTAGTGGAGTACTGTACGGCCCAAGGCCGCTTGCTTTGACTGAATAATGAAGGTAAGATGAGCAAGTCCAAACTAATCACAAGTCAATATAGGAGGAGGAAAATTGGTTGGGCAATAGGTAAAGATTAAAAAAGAGACTTTTATTTCCTTTTAAAGGAAACAAATTTTCATTCGTTGGATTGAGCAACTAGAGAGGGTTAAAATTAAGGAAGTTGAAGGGGTAACTATCAGAGCGAAGTACCTGAGTAATTGAAAGGGGAGTTCAGTGTTTAGATGAAGGGATTGTACCTAAGCCGGGGGCCGTCTCATACAGTGGAGGATATAGTGGGAAGTGGTGTCTGAATAAGATTATATAGGCAGGGTATAAATAGGAGTCTGGTTTATGAAATGGGTTGTTTTGAGAGTGGGCTGGGGCATGAAGAGGTAGAGAAGGTTTGAGACCGTGACAGTGAGGAGAGCTGACCCACGCTATCCTTGCCACAGCTTTAAATGATAAAACAAACAAACAAAAACCCCACCCTGTTGCCATTGAGTTGATTCTGACTCCTAGTGACCCTACAGCCCCAGCGTTGAAGGTATCCATAGTTACTGAGTCCTTGTATGTGCACGGCCTAAGTGTGCTGGGTACGCAAAGGCAGGCAAGAGAAACTCTTGTCTGTAGGTGCCACGGTATAGTGGAAGTAAAAAAGATAACAGGACAAACACTTCCAGCCTCAGTTTTAGCTTGCTATTGCTAAACACCTGCCACTTATTTTTCTTAAAAGAATGAGCTCCTTGAAGGAGTGAGACTTTTGTGTCCCAGCACCTGGCTTCTAGCAGGCTCTCAGGGAATGCCTGTTGAATGAATTAATGAGTAAAAGACAGACAATCCTATCAAGGAGGGGAGTGAAGGGAGCAAGGGAAGTACAGTACAGAAAAGATGTACGAAGTATGATCAGCTTTGGGGAACTGATCCTGCAATTCCATAATTGTAGTTCATGCCCTGTAGCAGTTTTCTATCAAAACCAAGCTGACACTCAAATTCACTGTCATAGAGCTGATCCTGACAGCGAACCCTGGAGGACAGGGGTTCCAAGGCTCTATGTCTTTACCTGAGCAGAAAGTCTGATCTTCCTCCTGCAGAGGGACTGCTGGTTTCAACTGTTGGCCTTGCAGTTAGCAGCCACAGCCTAACCCATTAGACCCCAGGCTGCTCAAACTGTCAGAATAGACCATACTATATAACGGGGACAGGCACAAAGGAGACAGTATTTTCCATTTAAAATCTGCCCTGCTGTAACTTTTCTTCTAAGGATTATGGTTGACATTTGGAGCAGTGCTTTTCTTATCATTTAAATAGTGTCTTCAGGATAGGCTATCTCATTGGACATTGTGTTATAAATATTTAACATTCCTATTTTTATGACTTTCCTTTCAAATTAATTTTAGTAGCAAGTTATAGAGGACAACTTTGTTCATATCTACTTGTTACACTTTAAAAACATTTACATGAATCAATAAAATGTTACTAATAATTAATTTCCTATATACAAGCTAAAAGCATTATATAAGCTAGAAGTTATATATTTAAATGGCATTATATAAGCTAAAATTATATATTATGTAAAAGTTTTATGTAAACTAAAATTACTATGTTTAATGAACATTTAAAAAATGATATGCTTTATCCCCTTTTTCCCACAATCAGCCCTACCCCATTTGTTAATGCTGGTTCAGTAGGAATCAATTCCAAGAACATTTTAATGATTTACATGGATTGTTCCAGACCCTCCCCAATTCCTGTTTTCACTCAACCCCTTTGCCCATTTCAGTGGTTTAGCTTGGGAGTTTTGTTTGTGTACGTGGCTCTCTTTGCTTCTATTTAGTCTGGAATATATGCAAATAATTCACATTTTCATCTGAATTTTTTGAAACTTATGTTTGTGCATGGTTTTATGCAATGGTTCATTCCTATGTCCTGCAGGATATCTATGACCTTAAGGACCAGATACAGGATGTAGAAGGGAGATACATGCAGGGGCTTAAAGAACTAAAGGTATCAGGGCCCATTCTGCAGCCCAAGCATGCTCTCTGTACGCAGAAGTGTTGGTAATGGCGGTTTCATAAGTTCTGTTAACTCCACTGCACATAGCTTTACTAACAACGTATGTCTTTCAAGCATGTGCTTAACATAAAATGCTTAGGTAAGGTACACTTTCTATCTCTGCTTATGTGTTTCATATAGTTTTGGGAATATTCAGCGAAAGATTATACCTTAAAGTTTTTTAAACCTTGTAAAATATTTGCATGTCCCTTGAATCTGAGCCATACAACAAATTAGGCCATCTCCTATAAAGGTATTTTTATTGAGACTTGGACATTAGAATTTTTCTAAGGTAAATGAAAATGTACTATTACCTATTTCTGACACCAAATTCAAACCAGTCAAAATTAAAGCCAGGAGCAGGAAGTAAGAGAGCTTTACTATAAATAATCAACTCTTCAGAGGATCCTGTGTTTTCTTTTTGCTTAGATTAAAAAAAATTTTTTTACCTATAGGTCAAAAAAGATGAAACAATTCGAAACATAAAGCAAACCAAACAAAACAGATTACACAAATCGGTGCCTTGAAGAATGTAGATAAATGTAAGCAGACCATCTCTCTGCCCAGCACACCAGTTTTCAATTTACATGTACTTCTGGGGTAAACATTTTGGTTTTAAGTGACACATGCTATTTTCCCCCCATGCTTCGTTATGAAGTTCAAACCTAATATTCTATTATGTAGGAACCAAAGTTTTCTAAATGTATAAAGAGAAACACACTCCAGGCTTGTGAGAAGTGGAAAGCGAGGCATTCAGAATACCGAGTCAGGACTGAACAAGGGCGTCATGGCAGCGCGTCCCCAGCCGCCCTGGTGTGATAGGAAGTTGCCCAGCTACCAGCCACCATTGGTTGTGGTCCATAAGAACTCACAGACTCAGGACCAAAAAGGGTGGGATGTCCTGTGGGAGTGGCCTCGGAAGCCTGGGTGCTGCTGATATGTCAGTACACATGAGAAGAATTAAGTGCTAATATACTGAGGGTGCTTATTTAGCCTTGTGGCTCTAATCTTAGACTTCAGTCCTCCCCCGCCCCTACTTTTTAAGCCCTTAGAGATAAAACAGAAATATCTTGAACCAAGGGAATAAATTCCATACATTAAAGAAATACATCTATAACAGTCATATCTAGCATAATGTATCAGAAAAGTGATCACTTAATTCAGAGATGTTCTTACCAGCTTTTTATTTTATGTAAATTATTTTCTTTACCTTTTATATCTACTATTCATTGAATTCTTTGAAGGAGGTAAGAAGAACATTAAATTTATTTGAAACTGTTCTCTAAATTTATGTGTGTATAATTGAAATTGACTTCAGGTTATATTTATCCTTAGGGATGACTCTTAAGCAGCAGAAAAACTACTAAATTAAAACAAAAGTTATCTGGTGATGCGATATATCCTGTTAAAAAAGGATGCTGGATCACTGCTATGGCATTACTCCTGATTAAGCATAATCTGCCTGTGGTATGCTTTCGTCACCTTACCCATTTGTTCTGTCTTTTTAAATTTTTTATCCAGAAAGCTGATCATTCCTTTTATAGTGCTTTCCTCATGCCATATTCAATAGTATGCAATGTAACCTAGAAAATGCAGTACAATATAAGGGAGTGTCCAAAGGTTTGTGAAAAGATCCATTATCTTTTAATTTCAGTTTTCTGTGAACTTTTTTAAGCCTCCTTGTATTTATTGACTACTTACTTAGCAAGTTCTTGGCACCATGCTAAGTGTTTTATGTTCACTGTATCAGTCTGTGTAAAGGTTTAGAAATAATGATCAGTCTTGTTATCATTTTATAGGCAATTTACCCAAGTATATTTTGAGATGTTGAGGACAAGAACTTTGTCTTACACATCACTGTAAATGCCAGTTCTCTGAGATAATCACTTGATTCAGTCTTACTGAGTCATTCTTAAGTTTAATTAAGCCCTTCTGTGTACTTCTTTGCAAACACATAATTATTTTGTTAGCCTAAGTGAATATGACTTGCCAGGGTATGTTGTTCTTAAATATTGCTCGTGCCTCTGATTCCTGGATAGGAGTAGAGAAATGGCTTTAACTTCTTGAGGAAGAACTGACACACTGTTGGTGGAAGTATTGCCATCAGTGATAAATTGCCATGCTTATAGAGTCCCGGCAATGCAAAAACCTGAGACTTGATGAAGATACCATGCCCCTGAATCAGTTGGCTCACAATCTAGTTGAGGATTTTGGTCACAAGATCATCAAGGGGTGTTCTAGGAGCATCTAGGCATAGACATCAAGGCTTACACATTAAGAACTCCTTAGCGCCCAGACTTTGTGCATACCACGGTCATTTGGGGAGTTAAAGACTTCTGGACTCTCTATCCTTATGTTTTCAGATTCAGTGCATCTTGGATGGGGCTTGAAATTTTACATTTCTACCCAATTCCCAGGTGGTGCTGAAGCTGCTCATCTAGAACTCATACTTTGAAAATCACTTTGTTAGAGGCATTTAAGTAAAACTAATTACTAATGTTATTACATTAAAACAGTTAAAACAACCTTGTTACTTTAGAGCAGTTTTGTGGCATATTTATACTTAAGGGATGTTAATGTTCCATAAATTTTCACTAAAATTTATATGTCATATCCTTATATCCAATACTTGGACTGTCTTGGAGTATGGTTTGCATGCAGTTATGCTCCTTGGTTTGAGCTGTGATGAGAACCGTTTTAAAAATTGTTCATTTTATCTTGGTTTGGTTGGAAGTTTATAAAACAAATTAGTTGCCATGATTTCCATATAGATTGTTCTGTGGCACTGAGTGCAGCTCTACAATGTCAGCACTTAGCCCATTTCTATTTTTGAGTTACCCATTTTCTTTTCTTTTCTTTTTTTGCTTTATGAGCTGGGAAGTCTCCTGCTCTGGTTCTTGGTTTTGCTATTTAAAAAAAAAATCATTTTATTAGGGGCTCATACAACTCTTATCACAATCCATACACACATCAATTGTGTAAAGCACATTTGTACATTCATTGCCCTCATCATTCTCAAAACATTTCCTTTCCACTTAAGCCCCCGGCATTAGGTCCTCATTTTTCCCCTTACTCCCTGCTCCCCCCTCCCTCATGAGCCCTTGATAGTTTATAAATTGGTATTTTGTCATATCTTGCCCTGTCTGACGTCTCCCTTCACCCACTTTTCTGTTGTCCGTCCCCCAGGGAGGAGGTCACATATAGTTCCTTGTAATTGGTTCCCTCTTTCCTAGCCACACTCCCTTTTGGTCTCAGGTTAGTGGAGACTGGTGTTCATGTGGTCCATTATTCTTTGGGACCAATTATTTTCTTGAGTTACTGGGTTTCTTCACGCTTTTTCCAGACAGAAAGAGATCAGTAGTTAAAACTTATGTGGTTACATGTAAGTTTTTAAGACCCTAGTCATTACTAGCCAAAATAAGATGTAGAACTTTGTCTTCATGGATAATGTTAATTGATCTAGTTGGGACAAGGACTTTTAAAAATGCTATTAGCCCTCAGATGAATCAGAATAATTCTTAATTCTGCATTATATTAAGACACCGCTATATGTATCTGATAGAACCTCTGATGCTATAACACTTATTAACCGTTAAGGCCTGGAAGTGAATAATGGAATTTTTTCCATGAGCCTTTTGAAGCATCCCTGTGTTCTTTATTGTGATTGTACTTCTTCCCAATCCTAGTATAAATGTTGACTGTTAACACAATTCTGAGTTGTTAGGCGTTTTTAACAGTTTTATTGAGATATAATTTATAATCCATACAATTTACCCATGTAAAGAATACAGTTCAGTGTTTTTAACAGTCATGGGATTATACAACCATCATTAAAGTGTAATGTTAGAACATACCCACCATTCCAGGAGAAATGCTGACCCTAATGTTAGTAGTCATTCCCCACCTCCCTGGACAAGCACCGATCTATTTTCTATCTCTGTAAACATGCCTATTTTGGACAGTTCATAAACATGGAATTGTATGTCATTTTTATTATTGGTTTCTTTCACTTAGCATACTGCTTTTGAGATTAATCCAATTGTAGCACGTTGTAGTGTGAAGTGGTATCTCATTAAGGTGTTTGCATTTTTCTTTTTCTTTTTTTAAACATTTTATTAGGGGCTCATACAACTGTTATCGCAATCCATACACACATCAATTGTGTAAAGAGCATTTGTACATCATTCTCAAAACATTTTCTCTCCACTTAAACTCCCGACATTAGGTCCTCATTTTTCCCCTCCCTCCCCGCTCCCCCCTCCCTCATGAGCCCTTGATAGTTTATAAATTGGTATTTTGTCATATCTTGCCCTGTCCGACGTCTCCCTTCACCCACTTTTCGGTTGTCTGTCCCCTAGGGAGGAGGTCGCATATAGTTCCTTGTAATCGGTTCCCTCTTTCCTACCCATTCTCCCTTTACCCTCCCTGTTTCGCCACTCACACCACTGGTCCTGTAGGGCTCATCTGCCCTGGGTTCCCTGTATTTTCAGTTCCTATCTGTACCAGTGTACATCCTCTGGTCTAGCCAGACTTGCAAGGTCGAATTGGAGTCATGGTAGTGGGAGCGGGGAGGAAACATTTAGGAACTAGAGGAAAGTTTCTCATCGTTGTTACATCGCACCCTGACTGGCTCATCTCCTGTGTTTGCATTTTTCATGAATAATGTTGAGCATGTTATCTGTCATGTGTTTTTTAGCCATTGGTTTATCTTCTTGGAGACATGTTTATTCACATTCTTTGCCCATTTCTGAAGTGAATTTTCATTGAATTTTGTAGTAAGTCCTTTGATATATTTTGGATATAAGTCCCTTATTAGATAAGTGGTTTATAAATATTTTCTCTCATTCTTTGGATTGACTTTTCACTTTCTCAATGACCTGTCTACAGCACAAGTTTTTAATTTTGATAAAATCTAATTTATTTTGTCTTTGCTTTTGCTGTCAAATCTAAGCAGCCATTGCCTACATCAAAGTAACAAGATTTTACTCCTATGTTTTCTTCCTAGAGTTTTATAGTTTAACTTTCATGTTAATAAGGCTTGTGGTCCATTTTCAGTTAATTGTTGTTTTTAGGGTTAGGGAAGGGTCCATCTTCATTCTCTTGCTTTAACATTCTTTGTTGGAAAAAAGCATTTTCCCCCTTCATTGAGTTGTCCGGGTAACCTTGTAAAAATAATTTCATTATAAATGTCAAGGTTTTGAGTGTAGTTCTGTTTCATTGAACTTTGTTAAGCATTTCTACTAGTGTTTAAAATTTTTATTTCCATAAAGGATTGCTTTTTCTATGTGAAATGCTTTTCTTTTTCAGTTTTTTTAAAAGAACAATCAGTAAGTAGTAATCTACTAAATCATATAATTATTTAAAGAAGCAAACAAAATGAGTCTGTAAACTCATAGGCAGAAAACTTTGAAGAAGAAAATTTCAGGCATTTAGGGATAGTTCCTTTGTATGACTTCAATTTGAGTAACTGCTAACAAAAAAACCACTTCCCCATTTTTGCTATTATTATATAGGACAGGAAAGTACTGAAAATAAACATTAAGGCAATGGCAAAATTCAAATGAGTGTGAAGTTTGTTTCTGTAGACTGAGATTGCATTCTGTGTTACCACTATATTCTGAGTACCTACACATTGGTAAAATCTATAACATTTTGGGAAATATTAATCATTTTTCATTCTATGAGTCTTAAAAATGTCTGTTGTCTACATAACTTTTCATCTTTCACAGGCTTCATTACTCCACGATCTTATTTTCTTGGAGACTAGCAAGTACATGGAGGCCCTAGAAAGATGTTTATGGCTTATTGTCTCCCTGTTTCATGTGCATGTTACCAAACAAGGACTTTCCTAGGCTGCTTGAATTTTGCAAAAATGCATCTTCATGTGTGTGTGCCAGTGCTATGACTTCCTGTGCCTACTGTATGTTACCTGTGAGAAAATTCTAGATACCAGGTTGATAGTTTTGACTCTCATTTAGGAATCTCTGTCTGAAGTGGAAGAAAAGTATAAGAAAGCTATGGTTTCCAATGCACAGTTAGACAACGAGAAGAACAATTTGATCTACCAAGTAGACACCCTCAAGGATGTGATTGAAGAACAAGAAGAACAGATGGCCGAGTTTTATAGAGAAAATGATGAAAAATCAAAGGTAATAGTTCAACTTTATTATTCTATGCTCTTGGCCAAAAAAATAAACTCTGCATTTAAAAGGTGGTAAGGCTGATAGAAGATTGCAAACTACTTGGGAATGGTGTCTCAGTCAACACCAGTGGTCCAGGGAATTGCCAGATCACCCTAAGATACTGTGCCTACAGTACTTTCCTTTTTAAATTAAAACAAAACTTTAATTTTTGTTCTAAAGGAAAATCTTTATGACCTCCTTTAAGCATCTGAAATCGAGTACAAGTCACGTTTTATCAGTATTGTCTGCTCTTAATTAAAACCATTACAGCAAGTTACTAATTTCTTACTGTTTTCTGCCATTCCAGGAAGCTCCAAAGGTTCTGTCTCTTAATGAGATGGTTATTACTTTTTTTTTTTTTGAGAACCTCTAAACCATTTCAGAGAACTCATTTACCATATATACTCCAGTGTAATCCGACCCAAATATCAACTGAGGCACCAAATTTTACCACAAAAACTGCATGAAAAATGTGCTGAAAAACTCGGCTTATACACGAGTATATACAATAGTAAATGACCGGAGAGATGTCATTAACCTTTAAACCGTTTATTTCAAAATGGTGGTATGGTGATGTGGGTCAGAAATTGATAGAATTTTATGTTTCCTTTAGGTGTTTGTAAACATTATTGTTTAAGAAGTAAAGCTGTAAAATAAAAGCCACTGTTTAAGTTGCAAATTTTCCCAGAGCAAATTGGCTTCTCTTAAAAGTTTATTGAACTTTTAAAATGTTGATCTCAATCTAAGCAGAGGACAAATGGATATTATTGCCAGAAATTAATTGCCAATGTAGTGCCAGTATAGCGAATCTAGAGTGAACTTAGGATATATTATTCATGAATTACTATAGTAATAATCTGAGCTGGAACAAAATTAAGAAACTTTTAATGTTACCTCTATGAAGCTAGCATTTTAACTATAGTCACTACAGGGTGTAAGTTGAAAATGTTAATTCCAGGCTATTTTGGTCACATTGAAATAGTGTTGTGAAATCAGATAGGGGAAAAGGAGTTCTAGGTGTTTTCCTGTTGGCCCAACAGTTGCCATTAAAGAGTATGATTTGGTTGTGATGAGTGATTTCCTCCTTGACTCTTCCTGTAGCCCATCTTTGGAGATCCTCATCAATCATACTTTTGAGTCCTTTATGAGCCCTCTCACATTTTCATGCATATATTTCTGGCTCTCTTTCACCAGATTCAAAAAATATTTCATGATTAGTATTTTTTTTTCTTTTTTAACATTTTATTAGGGGCTCATACACCTGTTATCCCAATCCATACACACATCAATTGTGTAAAGCGCATTTGTACATCGTTTCTCAAAACATTTTCTCTCCATTTAAACCCCCGACATTAGGTCCTCATTTTTCCCCTCCCTCTCATGATTAGTATTTAATAATCAGTCAGCATTACTAAAATGAAGGAGCCTTTGTACACTCAGCTGCTAATGGAAATGTTGGCAATTTAACACACACACACACACACACACACACCCCTCACCCCCACCCACCAGTGCTTTGTGAGAGAAAGATGTAGCAGCCTAATTTCATGAAGATTTACCTTCTTGGAAACCATATGGGTAATTAGTTCTATTCTGCACTACAGTTGCTATGAGATGAGATCAACTCATAGCAGTGGGTATGGGTTATTGCTAAAATGAATTCTTACCTTCCATCTCAGCACATGCCCTTGAGCATTTTTTAAAATGAAGGTCCTATGGTTCATCTATTCTCACCAACTTAATATTTCCTTTCTAGCATTTACTAAAATATTAGGATACCTTAGTACACATTGAAGACTTTTTTAACCATGTAAAATCTATAAGCTGTATCCGATACTCGAAGTCTTCTCCATATTCTGTGGGGCAGAAGGCTTTGTCCTCCAATATAACATTTTGCACTTTCTGATTCTCATCAGATAGTCTCGAGTAATAGAATGCTCATATTCATAGACAAAGAGGGCAGACACACTGGTATATTTCATTATAGCAGCAGATGGTGAGGTTAGAGAAGGACCATTCAACAGCAACAATATTAATTTTAAAAATTAAAAATACTTTTAATGCTTGTTTCTGGGATTTTAATAAATGCATCTTACATATTGTTTTATATCTACTATAGAGACAGAATGACTGCAAGTATCTTTACGTGTGTTATTCTTAGTAGTTATTCCTTTTCATGGGGAATTCTTTTTTGAAACACATCTGAATTTATGTAAGAGCCATCACAAACGTATCACATCCCAACAACCTTCAACCTGTGGCCAATTTTGCCGTCTTCTGCTCCCTTACAGGATTTGACACAAGTCATTTTTAGATGAATTCTTCTGACAGTCCATAGAACTTTCAGGACGCCTCACCAACACAATGATTCAAGTGCATTAATTCTCCTCTCAGGTCTTCGTATTCATTGTCCAGCTTTCACATGCGAATGAAGCAATTGAAAATCCCATGGTTTGAGCCAGACCCCTTTAGTCCTCAAAGTGACAGCGGTGCTCTTCAGCACTTTAGAGTGGTCTCCCGAAGAACACTGCCCATGAATTCATGCTGTTAGTTCCAGTTGTAAGGTTTTTATGTAACTTCTTCTGTCTAACATCTGTAACTGCTTTACCCACACTACAATTCCCCATCACAAAGTCACTGGAGATGATAGTAATTATGTTATATTCTGCTCTTACTGCATTATCCCACATTACCCAGAATAGTTATACCAGCACTGCCACCAGCAATGTAATTACTGAAAGTAGTTAAAACTGTTTGGTTGTTATTGTTGCCACTAGGCTATGAATGATTAAACTCTTGTTTTTTAAAATTATTTAAGATGGTTTTTCTGAGCTGATATCAAGGGCTCAAGTAGAAAGCAAATGTTTTGAGAATGTAATGGCAACAAATGTACAAATGTGCTTGACACAATGGATGGATGTATGGATTGTGATAAGAGTTGTACTAGCCATTAAAATGATTTTAAAAAATAAATGAAAAAAGATGGTTTTTCTGTACTTATGCTATCAACTGGCTAGTTGGGCTATTACATTTTATTTTCAATATTTAGGAGTTGCTTATGAAATATGATTTCTTGTGTTATATAAAATCATTAAGTCGTTTTTAAGTTTGATTTACAAAGCAAATATCTTCAAAGGATTATGTGTCTTCCTTTTAACATAATGTGTGTGTGTGTGACTTATTCTTGGAAAATGTTAACAGTGTAAATGCTATCTTGGCTGTAGTTTATAGAAATCACCCTTATACTTTGTCGCTATTTATAATTATCCCAGTGAGTGGATGTCCTAATTGTTTATTTTAGCAGTTTTTTATTAGTGGACAGTTGTTTGCAGTCATTTTCTGTAACAATCCTTTAAAAATACCCCCTGCACAGGTAGTTTTGTATTCATGAAAATGGGAAGATTCACATAAGTTGCATTGTTGTATCAAAGGGTAAATGCAGCAGTAATGGCATATGCCCTTCCCTAGTGTTTACATGTCCCATTTTGCATTCCCGCTGAAATGATGGAGTGGATCTTTTTCCTTCTGCATAGCACTCTAGAGTTACCGTATATACTTAAGTATAAGCCGACCTGAATCTCAGCTGAGGCACCTAATTTTACCACAAAGACTGCATTAAAAATGTGCTGAAAAACTCGGCTTATCCATGAGTATATACGGTATATCGTCAAGTTCTGGATATGTACTAGTGTGTTGGTGATAAATGTAGTGTTAATTTTAATCTCTCTTCATACAAGTATCTTTTCACATGTTCAGAGTTATTTCTGTTTCCTTTTCACAGTGCTGTTTTTTGAACTTATTTAATTCAATTTGTTTATTATTTTCCTCTTAATTTTAGAGGCTCTATATAAAGAGATAGTAAATCTTTGTCTCTGACATAAGTTCCAATTTTTTTTATTATTCATCTTTTTACTTTGCTCCAGGTGTCTTTTGATTTAAAAGTTTTTATTTAATATAATCTAACTTACCCTTCCTTTTCCCATATTACATGTAGAAATTTGTTATTTTCTTAGTAATTTTCTCCATTTCCTGATTAAAGAAATTGACTTTTCTTCTGGCATTTGCATTGCAGGTTTTTGTTATGTTTGTTTGCCTCTCCCACTTTTTAAAAAAATTATTTTATTGGGGGCTCGTACAATTCTTATCACAATCCATACATCCATTGTGTCAAGCACATATGTACATTTGTTGCCCTCATCATTCTCAAAACATTTGCCTTCCACTTTAGCCCTTAATGTCAGTTGCCCATTTCCCCCTTCCTTCCCCCCCCTCATGAACCCTTCATAATTCATAAATTATTATAGTTTTGTCATAAGTTACACTGTCCGACGTCTCCCTCCGCCCTCTTCTCTGCTGTCCATCCCCCAGGGAGGAGGCCATACGTAGATTCTTGTAATCGGTTCCCCCCTTCTATCCCACATTCCCTTCACCCTCCAGGCATCGCCCCTCTCACCACTGGTCCTGAAGGAGTCATCTGTCCTGGATTCCCTGTGTTTCCAGTTGCCATCTGTACAATGTACATCCTCTGGTCTAGCCAGATTTGTAAGGTAGAATATATGTTTCATTGTTGCTACCCTGCACCCTGATTGGCTCGTCTCCTCCCTACAACCCTTCAGTAAGGGGGTGTTCAGTTGTCTACCGATGGGTTTTAAGTCTCCACTCTGCACTCACCCACCTTTACAATGATGTGATTTTTTGTTCTTTGATGCTTGATACCTGATTCCCTTCGACAGCTGGTGGTCACACATGCTGGTGTGCTTCTTCCATGTGGGATTTGTTGCTTCTGAGCTAGTTGGCCGCTTGTTTATCTTCAAGCCTTTAAGACCCCAGATGCTATATCTTATGGTCACTGGGCACCATCAGCTTTCTTCATCACCTTTGCTTACGTTCACATTTTTCTTCAGCAATCGTGTCGGGAAGGTGTGCATCCTGGAATGCCAATGTAATAGAACAATGTGTTCTTGCAATGAGTAAGTGCTTGAGTGCCTCTCCCACTTAAAAAAAAACATACATCTCTCAGATTCCTTTAGAATTAGAATTTCCCGTGGTGTATAGTGGGAGTATGGTTACGATTTTAAGTTTTTCTATATGGATATACACTTTTCCCCAACATCATTATTTAAAATTTTTATCTTTTCTCATTGTTTGGGGGATTTAATGTATTTGCATATATTATGCAGTTAGGTCTTTTTTCTGAGTTTTTTACTCCATGTGATTGATTCATACCCATGTGCCAATACTGCATTGTTTTGATTATAAAAGCCTCATCTGTTTCAGGCGCCCTAGTGACACTGTGGGAAAAGCATTGGGCTGCTAACCTCAAGGTTGGCAGGTCAACCCTCCCAGCTCCTCCCCTGGGGACAAGATGAGAGGCTGTAGACTCCCATGAAGATTTACAGACACAGACGCCCTGTGTAGGTGGCTGTGAGTGAGGATTGACTTGATGGCGGTGGGCTTGGCTGGCTCTGTGCTTAAAGCCTGTATCTACAAAGCAAGCTGTTCCTTCTTTTTCTGTACTTGCTCTTACTGGCCTCTTCCCCATAAACTTAATAATCCATTGGTATTGCTGATGAGACAAAAACCTGTTGGTATTTTTATTTGAATTACATTAAATATATAGATGTATGTAGGGAGAACTTACATATGATGTTGGGCATTTTTAACCCTATTCCTCCCTTTTCCAAATGTTTTTTTGTTTTGTTTTAATCATTTTCCTCATTTAGGTTTTGGGTATATTTTCTGTGCATTTTTTTAAGATATTGTGAATGGAGCTTATTGTATCTCCTTTATAGTTGTTTGTATCTATGAAAGTTAGAAAAAAGTTCATGTTAATTTAAAACTTGTTGCTTTGGTGAGTCTGCTCATTGTTTGTAGTAATTTTGCTAGTGATTATTTTGGATTTTCCCGAGCCCTAGTTGGAATCAAATTGGTGGCAGTGAGTTTGGTTTTTATATAATCATGAGAGGTGAAAAAAATTTAATTTTCCTTCCAAAAACAAGACAAACAGCAAGACTTAATAAACTTCGTCAAACTCTCTTCCATCAAGTCAGTTCTGGCTCCTGGTGACGCTAGAGGACAGAGTTGAACTGCTACTGTGGATTTCTGGGACTGTAACCCTTTTTTTAAAAAAAAATCATTTTATTGGGGGCTCATACAACTTTTAACACAATCCATACATATATCCATTGTGTCAAGCACATTTGTACATTTGTTGCCCTCATCATTCTCAAAACATTTTCTTTTTACTTGAGCCCTTGGTATCAGCTCATTTTTTCCCTCCCTCCCTGTTCCTCCCTCCCTCATCAATACTTGATAATTTATAAATTACTATTATTTTGTCATGTCTTACACTGTCCGATGTCTCCCTTCACCCACTTTTCTGCTGTGTGTCCTCTGCTTTTTCTCCCAAGGAGTGGCTCGTAGTTTCAAACTGCTGACCATGCGGTGGGGAGCCAAGTGTGCACCCACAACACCACTAGGGCTCCTTAGGAAGCCCTAAAACATGGTTTCAAAAATCCCAAAGTAGAGAACAGTGAGCTAAGAGAGTTCTTTTTCTGGCATCAGCACATTCTAAATATTTTAGGGGAGAAAAGACCCTCAATTTAAGTAAGTTTGATTGACACTCCTTCATTAAGGTTTAAACAGGACAAAGACAAACAAACCTGGGTGAAGGGAAACATCAGTCTGAGGCCATAATGGTGTGTCCTGACATTAAAAAAAAATCTTTTGAACTTTCTCATAGAAAACAATTTTTATTTGGATCAACTGTCTGGGCATGTTTCTAAAAGTCATACTTAGTCTGTGTTATGTGTGTGTAAAGATACATATATATATATATATTTTTTAAGATACCAATATTTATAGTATACAGATTTTTCAGTGACTGATATAATCTATTATTTATTTTTAACAGGAGTTAGAAAGACAGAAACATATGTGCAGCGTGCTGCAGCATAAGATGGATGAACTTAAAGAAGGCCTTCGACAAAGAGATGAGCTTATTGAGGTATGTGTATGAACTGTAGAAATACTTAACTTTGGAAAAAGAAGATACATTGGATGAGAAGAGGGTATATGTGTTTGGAAGGAAAGGGAGTAAGATGCGACAAAGAATTTACTTGTCTTTTCTATTTTTGGTGTAGCCTAAAATTTTCAACATGAAACAGTAAAGAAGAATTTTTAACAATCCATATTATGAACTTTATAACCTTTCCCCTTTTAATAGCAAAAGGTTTTGTAAATTCATTTATTTATTAATGATACATTCTTTCCTAAACAGAATTTAGGGACTGTCAAACGGAAACACTATTGTGCAGCATCCTTTCAGACATGGCAAATACAATTTTTTAGGGACATGATAGTTGGATAACATCTTTACTCAGGTGGATCTATTTTTAAGATGGATAAATGAGGAAAATCTCAAGACATTGCATATATCAAAAGGTTGTTGGCCAATGCTGAGGTGCAGGTTTCTGCTGGCAGAAGAATTGTGAGTGCTGAAGTGTTGGTAACATCTTGGGCATGAAAAGGATCATGGTTCACTAGAAAATCTTTGAAAGCATCTGTTCCTCCTCTTAAGCATACTACCTTGCATACTTCCCTATTTCATCTCTTGATATTGCCCTGTTTTATAAATACTAATTACTGGTTTGGATGATCTTGCCCACACTCACAGCCTGTAATGTTAATGAATGTTGGTGACATGTTAGTGATAACAAGATCAGGGCTTACTGATGACCCTGGGAGATGACCACTCACCAGAGCAGCCACACCCAGGGCTTCTCTACTCCCTTGCCTTACTTTCCCTCTTTCTCTTCCCCTCTCCTCACAGACCCACCTCACCTGCAGTCTCTCTGTGAATTATTCTAAAAACATCCACAATACCGAGCCCCAAGCAACCATTTAATAGAGGAAAAGAAATGGCAGGGTTTTTTTTTATAGATCTGTCTTAAATTTTGTTCTTAGGCATAATTGGATTAACCATATCCTGTAGGAAGGGGCAGAATTTGTGAATACTAAATGCAGATACTGATTACCCTTTGGAACTATCAAATTCCAAGTGAAGTTAGTTGTATTAGTCTTCTATATAAGGCAAGGAGTACATTATCCAAATTCTGTATTTGCTGCAGTTGAAACAGTGTCCTTTTTATCTTTGTGTGTGTGTGTGTAAATTTATTTCATTTATTTCTTTCTAATTAAAATTTATACCTTTTAGTATTTAAAAAGAGTAAAACTCATTAAGAGGCATAAGTTAGTAGTAAGTGTTCTTGCTTTTAATTCGACAGTTGCACTTAAGATAAATTATAGTATTTGATTTCTTTATGTATCACTGTGGGGTCTTTAAAGTGTGGAATGCTGGATATACAAACTTTTAAAAATAGCTTATCTTTAGAATAAGCATCTTTCAAATGTTAGTATTGATTATAACGGAAAGACCTTGAATATGACAAACAATATGACTTATTCTTTAGAAATAAGAATCAATCACATAATAAAGTAGATTTTTAAAAATGCATGGGTAGGGCATGTAGGAGTTGATACTTGACCAGTAACGCATCAGAAGAAAACCTCATAAGGCTTATTGTTGCTGTGTGCTGTGAGAGGGTTCTGGTTCACCATGGCGCTGGGGGCAGACCGTGAAGAGCTGCTTCACTCAGTTGTCTCGGCTAGCATTTTTCCTTTCTTTTTTAAAAAATCATTTTATTTGGGGCTCGTATAACTCATCACAACCCATACATATATCCATTGTGTCAAGCACACTTGTATATCTGCTGCCATCATCATTCTCAAAACATGTTTTCAACTTGAGCCCCTGGTATCAGCTCCTCATATTCCCCCTACCCCTCCCTCCTGCACGAACCCTTGATAATTTACAAATTATTATTTTTTCATGTCTTAAACTGTCCGATGTCTCCCTTCATTCACTTTTCTGTTGTGTGACCCCCAGGGAGGGGGTTATATGTAGATCCTTTTGATGGGTTTCTCCATTCTCCCCCACCTTCCCCTTACCTTCCTGGTATCTCTGATTCCATTATTGGTCCTGAGGGGTTTATCTGTCCTGGATTCCCTGTGTTTCCAGCTCTTCTCTGTACCAATGTACATGCTCTGGTCTAGCTGGATTTGTAAGATAGAATTGGGATCAAGATAGTGGGAGCGGGGGGAGGAAGCATTAAAGAACCAGAGGAAAGTTCTATGTTTAATCAGTGCTACACTGCACCCTGGCTGGCTCATCTCCTCCCCCCGACCCTTCTGTAAGGGGCTGTCCAGTTGCTTACAGATGAGCTTTGGGTCTCCACTCCACACTCCCCCTCATTCACAATAATAGGATTTTTTGTTCTTTGATGCCTGATACCTTGGCTGTCATTTTTACAGAAATAGATCACCGGGTCTTTTGTATCATTGTGTGATCAGAAATGTTCTTTGGGAACTGCTAAATACTTAACTGAAGTTTGCCTGAAAATGATGTGACTGTTCCTATCTAATTCATGATGGTCTTGTGTCATATAGTCTACTAACAGAAATTAGAAATGATTAAAGCAAAGACTTGGCTCTCTTGTATATTTTTTCAGTCTGCTTTAAAAATAAAATTCCAAACCACTGCTGTCCTCTGTGGTAAGCAATGATTGGTTCATAAGCAAACCTGAGTTTCCTTCTTCAGAATTATAAGTTGTTCCACATTGGGGATTTAAAAAGGCACTATCAAAGGAAGAGTACACATGAGCTCTGTGTGTGCTGCCACAGAGCTGCGGCTGGAAGGGTTACTGAGTCTCCTTGCTTACTTTGCAGGGACAAGCCACTGAGAGTTGTGTCACCAGCATTCTGGGGGTCATCTTTCCTGTTAGCAGGCCACAGTCGCCTTTCCTGTTCATCAGACTTCCCGCTTTTGTTAAGCTTCATGGTCTGCGTGATTTTTTTTTTTTTCTTCCGGTTGTTCCCTCCTTTTGTTTCTTTCTGCTCTTTTATTCTCTTCCCTCTTCCTCTGCAGGAGAAGCAACGCATGCAGCAGAAAATAGACACCGTGACAAAAGAAGTGTTTGATCTCCAAGAGACACTTCTTTGGAAAGATAAAAAAATTGGGGTACGATAGACAATTGGGCTTTGTTGGGGAATAGACCAATATAATCAAACTCAGAGAATTCTAAGAACCTGCTATTTTGGTTATTAAGTAGTTTGACAGTATGGGCACAGGAGACGAAGGGATTGGACAATTTAGGCATACCTGACTGTATGACTGGAAAACTGCCCTTCTTCCTGCTGGCTTTGAAACCTACAATTTAGGAACTGTATAAGGAAGTCATTCATTTCCTTAGAAGCCTTATCCAGAAACAACTACAGGCAATTAATTCAAACTCAGTGAGTAAAGTGATATCCTTATATTATAAAAATTTAGATAAGAAGAGGTTTTTGATGGAAGAGGTAGTTAGTGTGGGAGAAAAGTTATTAGCATGCCATGAATCTTTGGTGAGTAAAATAGGAAGAGATTAAAATCAGTTTAATTATAGAAGTGGTTAGGAATGTAAGATTTCCCAGGGCTGCCAAATTGTGACGTCATCTCTAATTATAACCTCAGAATTCCCCAAACGGACCCAGATAAGGACAAAGTTTTTATAGGCTTTTTCTGAACCCTGCAAGCACGTTTACTTGAGACTGGAAAGGTTCCCATCAAGTCATCCCTTGAAGACTTTGGACAGCCTAATCTCAAGACCTGACTCTCCTCTGGAGGAGGAGCAGCACACAGCCATATGCCTAGGGAGGCTACAGCATCCAGGGAAGAACACCGTGTTCTTCTTGAGGGGGTAGGTGCCGTGGGAAATGTTGGCAAAGATCTCTAAGAGCACCTTGATAGATGTAGCTCCCTGTGAAGTCCTCTGGATCAGACTCCATTGTAGGAATGCTCTGAAGCCCATTCAGAGGCCAGCAGTACCGAGTTACTTCGCATATTACCAGGAACCCTGTCCATTCATTCATAAATACATCCAAACCAACTCATAGTTACCATACAGGGTAAAACTATTCCTATGAGTTTTCTGTAATTCTCTACAGAAGTAGGAAGCCTCATCTTTATCACGAGGAAAGGCTGGTGGTTTCAAACTTTGGACCTTGCAGTTAGCAGCCATCATCGGGGGGAATTACTTAAACAGTTTGATAAACCAAAATTTTAAAGACATATAAAGCTACCTTCTAGAGTTTCTGATACTTACATACCAAGTTTCTAAAACCATGTCTTATACCACTTTGAACCAGTTAATCATGGGCGACAGTAAAACTGTAATGGACTGGAATTTTCAAAATGTGTATGCCTGCAATGATAACCAGAACGTGAAAAACTGTGGATTGAAGCCCTGAGGTGTTGTAGTGAGCTCTTGAGAGAGAAGCCTCAGACGGGAGATTGAATTATTATCAGGACTATAGAAAGTGACACATTTGTGAAGTGGTACAGTTGACTGCCACCTTTGAGTAGGGAAACCATTGCTTCTGGCTCTGCCAGGCAAGAGATGTGGTTGCTATGCAGTACGTATGCTGCCCTTGTTTTCTAAGAGGGAAGTTAAGTTTCCCACAGGATGTAAACCTGTAATTTTCCCTATTCTGGTTATCCCCCTATTTTGTAAGTTCTGATCCCTCCTGATTTTACTTCCATGGCCTTGACTGATCCTGGAAGTACCTGTTTGAAGCCTTATTCTAAAATTCACCCAAAGCTAGAAAAACAAATTGATGTTAGTGAGACACAGATTAATAATTTGCGTAGTAGGCATTTTGAAATTGTAGTTGTGAACTACTGATTTATATAAATTTTGCCTTGAGAATTTCAAATGAGAGATGGAAAAATAGTATAACACCAAGTAGGCAATCTGTGAAGTTCAGTCAGTCTGTCTCTGGAATCTTGCTTCTCTGAAGACTTGAGATCCTTTTCTTCAGTACAGGTCTGTAAGTCATTCGTGATTTCTACTTAGTATGATTATCTTTATTTTAAACCGATTGTCTTAGACCAGTCATTGAAAAACTGAATTACTTAGTCCAGTGAAAAAAGTCATCCAAAACTAAGAAAAAAATTTTTTCTATCAAAAATATGTAGATGGTCAGGATACAGACAACTCGTCTTTAGAATTTTTTTGGTATTCATTAATCTGCATAGTATCTAATATTCTTTATTCTGTGTAATATACAATATGTTCCCTTGACTTTGTAAGAAAGAAAGCACAAAGTCACCGCCGGAATGTTGTTAGCGATACAGTCCTGATAAGAGAACAGCTCTATCACAGGAAGGCATCCTGCCTGTTCCCTTCTCATCACAAGTACTACTGTCCAGATGCTCCCTGGTAACCACGAATCTGTTCTGTTTCTGTCATTTGTCATTTGAAGATTGGTATATAAATGCAACCATACTGATTATATAACCTTTTGAGGTTGACACTCCCCATCTCACCCAGCATAATTCCCTGGAGATTCATCAAAGTTGTTGAGTGTTTATCAATATATCGACCCTTCCTTGACTTTTAAAAGTCGAGTAGTCAGTGTGGTCAGGGACTACCTAATGTATCATTTGTCTCTTGCTTCATTTTCTTGATGCAAATTTACTAAAGGACCATGTTCATTGCCCTAAGCTGAAGTTTTAAATTTTTGTTCACTGACCTAGTTGTCTTCCCCCACTGCAGTCTTAAGCACTAGAAGCCATGTGTAGACTAGGTGTATATCAAGAGCTTGGGTATCTATTACAGCCCAGTATAAGACTCACTCCTATTCTGACCAAAGATATTTGAGCCCCTGTGCTGTTACAGCCTTGGGAACTCACAGGGACAGTTCTTCTCTGTCCTGTAAGGTCTCTATGAGTCAGACTGGACTTGGTGGCAGTAAGGTTGAGTTTCTGGAGTTTGCCATTATTTGGGAAATAAACTTGCTGTTGAAAAGTTAATTTGCAGTTAGGCTAGGGATCAGACTTCCACAAAGCTGTACTTTTATCCTATAAAAAGATCTTTACTATGGGAGTTACTGTTGCACACAAACACAAGGGTAGTGGTTATCTGGTCAGGTAATAAGAGAGGATTGCTGGCCCAGTGTGAATATATTTGATCCAATTATAAGGTATTCCAATTGTCTTCAAACTTTGTGATCAAATGGGTGAGTTTACAGGATGTATTTTATATCCCCAACCATAATTATGGGGAGATAAAATTAAAAAGTTCCAAAGTAAAAATAAACCCCAGTGCTGTAAGATGTGGGAGAGGAAACAAAAATGACATGTACTAGCATTCTCTGGGATTTCTGGTTTCAAATTGGTCTGTTCCTAGGTAATCTTTTTTATTCATTGTTGGTATTTAAGAAGCATGTTGTGAAAGTGATCATTTACTCAGTTACATGTGGTGGTGCATGACATAACTATGCATGCAGATAGCATTAGCCAAAGAAAGCAGCTGTCACAGAAGATGACTGTGCTGCCTGTGCTTTGTTGTCCCGATGCTTTGTGATTAATGTCATGGAATGTTAACACTACATTGAAGTATAAAAGTAAATGCCTCACAATGGCAGACACTCAAGATTTTTTTTTGACACTCAGATTCTTAACATATGTAGACTGAAGACCTTTGTGTTAATATAAATGGTCAAAGGGAAGATTTTTTTTTTTGACACTCAGATTCTTAACATATGTAGACTGAAGACCTTTGTGTGAATATAAATGGTCAAAGGGAAGATGATGTCATTGTCATTTGGATAAATAAGGAGTAGGACTTGCCCAAGGAGCCTTGGTTAAGATTTTGGTTGCTAACTGAAGAGTCATTGGCTCAAACCTCCCAGTGATTTGAGAGAACAGGCGTGCTGATGCCCACTCAGAGATTGTAGCTAAATAAACGCTATGGAGTGGTTCTACTCTGTCTGATGGAGTTGGTAGGAGTCAGAATCAACTAGGCAGCATACCACAATAGTCAACAGTATATGCCTTCTGCCAGGACAACAAGGGAACGTAATGGTAGTCTCCACTGAGCTGGCTATGATGTAGAAAGGGTAAGCAAGGGCTTTGGAGACATAAAACATAACTGCCCTTAACCTCAGTTTTCTGTTTTGTAAAATGAAGATAAAGCAGGTGCATTTTAAAGTACGTAAGGGAGCAACTGTATGTAGAGTGCATGTTGCTTTTGGCTAGGTGCCATTGGGTTGGTGCCAGTGACCTTGTGGCAACAAGACAGTGCACTGTCCTCACAATGGTTGCTGTGTTTGAGCCCATTGTTGCAGCCACTGTGTCAGTATAGCTCATTGAAGATCTTCCTTATTTTTGCTGTGCCTGTAATTTAACAAGCATGATGTCCCTCTATAGGGACTAGTTCCTGCTAATAATGTATCCAAAATAACAAGACATATGTGATGTCTTACCATCCTTGCTTCCAGTCAGAGAGATATTATGTATATTTAATATTAATATGTTTTCTATTATACAGGAAACTGACATATAGTTGGAACTACAGAAATGATCATTGCCATAATCTTTTATTTGTTTGCACAATGATTACATAATGTTTTAAAAATTGACCATCTCTTCAGACATTAATAAGTAACCATTTTTCAACCTAGTAAAATGGCAAGTTAACCATTTGGATTAATGACAATACTTGCAAAAACACTATCTGCAGCTGTGTGGAGAAGTTTTTTTCAAATAGCCTAGTTGCCAGGTTCCCTTACAGACTACTTAAATGGATCCTACTTTTCTACAGTTGTAAATTTGATTTGTCACTGTTGACCAGAGGGTATTTATATCTGTACACTGTCCTCAGGTCTAAGAGTTGTGGAATCCAAGAAATAGAAATGAAAATGGTAATGTGAAACGCAGTGAAAGCACAGGTTAGTAAAATCTGTGCCTAGACTCAAAAGATTGATTTCAAGCTCCATGTTATGCTGCCCTGAATAGGGGAACTATATTTATTTTGTCTGTGTTTTATTTTAGTTTTTCATATTTTGGAATACATTAGAAAACAGAATGACTATAATTGTGTTTTATCAAATCATAAGGAACAGATGTTTGAGAATCCCTTTGGAGATTAGCTCTTTTGAGGAATTTGAGGAATATTTTGCCATGCTATTAGACCACAGTCACTACAGCTAATATTTAATTAAAATACTACGTTAATTGTTTTTCTTCCAGAAAAATTTTTAAGTTGATGTGTAAACCTAAGTAAACTATCTTAGTTAAACACAAAATGTGTTTTCCTGTTCACTAAATGAAGATGTACTGAGGTCAATAAGAAAGCTTTTAATATCGCTGCTGTCTTTGTCTTCAATTTCCTGTGGGTTTTTGTTTCCCCTCCATAGACTAGAAAATATTTTTCCTCCCTGATGTAATGAGCATGTTTTATTGAACATAGCATGAGAACTAGTTTATCTCTTGGAGATACATATTCCAATTACTTGGTGTCTCTGACAGCATCTAATTAGCTGTGTCTACGCATTTGACTGCTGCTTTGCTTTTTAATGCCATGTGTGGGTTTATTTGAATTAGGTACAGCTCTGCTACCTTTCACTTGCGTTTTTCTGTGCCATTCTTCTCCTTGCTCCCTTGCCTGAACCAGGCCCTAGAGAAACAGAAAGAATACACTGCCTGCCTTAGGGATGAGCGAGATATGCTCAGAGAGGAGTTGGCCGACCTGAAGGCGACAGTGAAGACAGGAGAGGTACGTTAGCCTCAGACATGTGACACATCAGGTCCCTGCTTTACTCTTTCTTCCTTCCTTTCATCCTGTGATCTTTCCTAGCCTGGGTACAAACAGCAATAGTCATGACCTAATCCGGATTGGTAGGTTTAAATCATTTCTCTACAGTTTTATGTAATTCCAACCAGGTTTGGCCTGTGGCAAACATATTGTTGCACAGTCACCTGGCAGCTTCCTGTTTCTTGGTGGGCCTTTTTTTGTGATGGTGGTTTTTCTTCTCCACAGAAACATGGTTTAGTTATAATCCCCAATGGCACTCCCAACGGTGATGTCAATCATGAACCAGTGGTTGGAGCCATCACTGTTGTGTCTCAGGAAGCTGCCCAGGTCTTGGAGTCAGCAGGAGAAGGACCACTAGGTAAGACAGTGATTGATTACTATGTTGATGTGGATTAATGTAGCCTGATTGGGCTTCCAGTTTCATGATTTCCTAGCCTAGGAAACAGCACAATGGCTGTTTTAACAGGGAGAAATTGAGCCACATTTTCTTTAGACATTCGTCGCTGATGTCTCAGATGTCACTGGGAGGCAGTACTTGTAAACTATCAGACCTCTGGATAGAAAAAAGGGTGGGTGTATGCACATTGCTTTTTCACTTAAATGTAAGCATGTGAAGAGATAGTCCAGCCACCCTCATTGGAGAGCACTGGGGTGCCCGGAGCATCTGGTTTTATGTTCTGCTACTTATCCCAGGGTTCTGTAGCTTTTTGCCACCTCATTTCTTTCTTTCTTTCTTTTTTTTAATCATTTTATTAGGGGCTCATACAACTCTTATCACAATCCATACATAAATCAATTGTGTAAAGCGCATTTGTACATTCGTTGCCCTCATCATTCTCAAAACATTTCCTCTCCACTTAAGCCCCCGGCATTAGGTCCTCATTTTTTCCCCTCCCTCCCTGCTCCCTCCTCCCGCCACCTTATTTCTTAAGCAAGAAACAGAGACCAAGAAGAAAGGTATCAGAGGGATGTGGTTTCCAGAATAAAGCTTCTGAGTCTCTTAAGTTCAACCTTTTGAGAATCTCCAAGAAACCAGAGATGCTCATCCAGTCCCTCCATAAGAGTCCTGTAGGAAGAGGAAAATTTCATAGATACGGTATCACCGGTACCGGTCTATTTTCATTTTCTTGGCATATGTGTAAGTTTGTTAAAGGAGTGGGATATACTGCAATAGTGGGGCAGCCGAAAACTTCATGGAAGTCAGCAATAGCACTCTCTAATGTGTAGAAGTGTCTTTGAAGAGACTGTGAATGGGGTGGGGTGGGGGTGCGAGGAGTGGAGACCCAATGCCCATCTGTAGACAATTGGACATGCCCTCACAGTAGGGTCACAAGGAAGACATGAGTCAGTCAGGATGCAGTATAGCACCGATGAAACACACAACTTTCCTCTAGTTCTTTAATGATTCCTTGCCCCCAACTATCATGACCTCAGTTCTACCTTACAAATAGGATTAGACCAGAACATGCACACTGCTACAGGTAAGAGCCCGCAACACAGGGAATCCAGGATAGATAAACCCCTCAGGGCCAACAATGAGAATAGAGATACCGGGAGGGTGGGGGGAGAAAGGATCATATAACCCCCTCGCAGGAGGACGAACAACAGAAAAGTGGGTGAAGGGCGACAGAGGATGATGTAGATATGAAAATAATAATCTATAACTTATCCAGGGTTCATGAGAGAGGGAGGGAGGGGGAAAATGAGGAGCTCATATCAAGGGCTCAAGTAGAAAGAAAATGCTGATGGCAAAAAAAAGAAAATGATGATGGCAGCTTATGTACAAATGTTCTTGACACAGTGGATGAATGTATGGATTGTGATGGGAGATGTCAGAGCCCCAATAAAGGTATTTAATAAAAAATGTTTTTCAAGAGCTAGTTCTAGGCATGTGAGAGAAAACCATGAGGATGGAATGAAGCTCTGGGCAGCTCAGATGTATCCTCCGCCTATTTGGAAGGGGCTGAGGGAACAGGATGTCTAGTTGGCTTTGACCTTCATTGGTTGTGGGTGAGTGGTTTCTTCCACTGATCTCTGGGTAAGGTATTCTCAGCTATTTTATGGCAAAGTTGGGAAGAGGTGAGCCCTACTGCTCCTGCTGCCGAGTCTCAGGTGACTGCTGACAGTCCACAGCCCCGCGCGGTCCTCCTGCTTCCCCACTTGTTTCTGCGGGACTGTGCATCTTCCAGCATCGTGTGCCTTCATAAGAGGACTTCAGAAAGTTCACAGAAAAACAGATGATTAAAAATGTACATGTAAACATTATTTCTCATCATAAGCATCATCAAAGACAAGAGACTTTAATGAGCAGTGATTCCAGCCATTTAATCTGTCCATAAAGAACTGAGAGGCCTGGGAACTTAACCATGTCAGCCGGTATTTTTTTATATTATTAACTGAAGAAAAATGGGTGCCCTTTCAAGACTATTTTTAAGATCAAGAAACAAAAAAGTCAGAAAGAGCCAAATCAGGATGCCTCATGATTTTCCATAAAAAAATTCTTATATAATTGCCCTGGTTTGATGAGAGGAATGAGCCAGGAGCACTGTGGTGGTGGTGGAGGACTCTGGTGAAACTTTCTGGTCATTTTTCTGCTAAGACTTAGGCAGATGTTCTCAACATACCCTCAGGATAAATAGATGTGACCCTCCTAGGGCCCCCCCGAAAGTCAAGGAGGAAAATGCTTTGAGTCTTCCCCCAAACGGTTTCCATGGCCTTTCCTCCTGACGGGTCCACTTTTTCTTGAAGAGACCAGTTCTCCCTCTTATTGGCTTCGATTGTGCTTTGTCTTCAGGATTGTGTTGTAAAGCCGTATTTCATCTTCTGTTATATATAATTCTTCATCCCACTCATTTAAAGTTTCCATGGAAAGCTATGTTCTTGTCTGCTGCTGTCTGGGCACAGTAGTATAGGTACCCATGGAGTGGAAAATTTGCTCAACTTTAATATTTTCAGTCAGCATTGTGTGAGTGAACCAAATGAGCTGTCTGTGGTGTTCGCCATTGCTTCTGCTCTCAATCACTGCTCCTCTCCAACCAGGACACGGACAAGATGGGGTCCTCCCAAGCGGATGTGCAGTGTGCTGTGTCCTCAGTCCCTAAAGCTACTTATCCATTTGGAAACTGGTATCTTTGGGACACGGTTCCCATTAAGCTTTCTGTAAAGCACCAGAGATTTCCGTTTTCCCACCCACATTCCACCATAGATTTGCTGCTTGTTTTTACCTCAAACTTAGCAGAACTCACGTTAGTCTGATATCAAACTGATGTTACCCTTCTTCGTGCCTCATGCCACATCCTGTTCAGACAGGTTGTCCTAAGTTAGTAGGAGTTTATTTGGGTACAGAAAAGTGTTTGAAATACATGGATTTTTCATGATATGTATTTGCCATGAACTTGTTGAAGACTCCTTGTATTTTCCTTGTTGCATCTTTCCCTCCCAATCTGTTTACACTGGGAGCCCTTGCCTTCAGTCCCATGTTTTGTTCCTTCCAGCCAATGCCTTCAAGCCTGTGTGGGAGCACCCATGAGATTTGAGTGGTGATAGCTTGCACATTTTCAAATCAAGGGAATTATTTCATTTTACTTCACTTTATCTTTTATGTGGAAAATTGCAGCTTTTGTGGAGCAAATGTTATATTTTGTGCCCTAATAGATATCACTTATGTGGAAATATATTGTGAATAAATAAGTTCTTTCTCATAACATTTTAAATCCTTCTTTTGAGAATAAGAGCTGGAATTAAATTTACCAGATAAATTTTTACCACTAATTATGGATTCGAAGAATTACTTTTATTTATAGTACTGTATAACTACAAACCAGTTTATAGTCTTTTAAATTTATTTTAGATGTAAGGCTACGAAAACTTGCTGGAGAAAAAGAAGAGCTGCTATCACAGGTAAATGTATTCTTTGTACTGGAATTGTCACTGGTGAAATTATGTGGGAAAATGTCAGCAATTTAAATTGCTTCCAGAAAGGAATGTGCATATTTCAGACATCAAGACTCAAGTGAGATTAAATTTAAGATTAAATTTATCTGTATTGGTAGAAAGATAAAAGATTACCCATTTTGCTTCCTGCTATTTCTGATTCTTTTAAAACACTTTCTATAGGATACATAGATTTTGAGATCAAATAATTTCTACAAATTATCTTGTGAAGACAGTAATCCCCTGGCTCCCTCACCCTCACCCTCACCCTGACCAAACTGTCTCTTCAATGCTTTCAGCTCATTTTTACAGGGGGTACTCTCTTTATGGGGCTTTCAAAAGTTCCTTTTTTTAAAAAAAAAAAGAAAAAAGGAATTATCTTATCATTTAAAGGTCATTTATTTCTCATGAACTTTTGAAGCCCCCTTGAATACCTCCGTGTGTAACATGCTTATGTTGCTGCTGCGTCATGTTTGCGGTTTGGGCATTTGCTCTTAAACCCCCGTGGGAGCTGTACCTGCCACACACATGCACCCTTCCTGCCTCACACCCGCCTCCCGAGTTTAGCATGTTTACATCGGTAGGACTCGGTAAACCCCGTGTTTAGTGGAGCCAAGCAGTTTTCCTAGAAGTGCCTTTTACTTTCTTCCTGTTTCCCCTAAAGTTAATCATTGTGACTTTGTTTCTTCATTTGCGTGGTTTTCTAGGTACTTAGGATTAATTTGGGCACATATTGTATAACTAGTTTTAATTCTCTTAGTGTTTTCTGATGCATCAGTTGCATCCTTTTGAGTCGCCTGATTCTGCACTACTAGCACTCGTTCAGCATAGAGATAGAGCCACCATTCATCATCAGCTGGGGTTTTCTCAGTCTGTGGTTTGCGTCCACTACTCTTTCCAGTGAACACATGCCCCTTTCCTTACTTTGTCCTTGGTACCCCTCAAGTGACTTCCCGAGAAAAGGGCTCTGTGCACTATGAAGCTGTTGTGACCTTGCAGACTTGCGATTGTCTGTTTTACCCTCAGCGTTTGGCTGAGTATGTGGAATACTGGGCTGTAATTATCATCCTTTACAGTTTTTGAAAGAAAATGTTTCATTGTCCAGTAGAGCTGTTGAGAATCCTGTGCTTATTTTACGATTATTTGTGTATGACCCATTTCTAACCTCTCTGTAGAAACTTGTATCATACTAACTCCATAGTGTTTTTAAGATTTAATAATGTCGTTATAGTTTAAATTTTTTTTGCATGAGTGAAAGTAGACCCATTCTCTCATTCTGGAAAAATTCTTGAGTTATTATGTTATTGATTTTCTCTTTTTCTATTATCTGTATTTTCTGGAATTCCTGTTCAATCATTCAGCAAATATTCAGGAGTCTACTTTGTTAAGTAAACATTATTCTAGACGCATGGGACAGGTCAGTAAATAAATCAGGAAGTGGCAGATCTTACACTCGAGTCAAAGGAGACCAGATAATGAACAAAAAGTGTCATTTTAACGCGGGTGTATTAAAAGTTAGTACCCAGTGTATTTGTTTCTCATGTTTAGTTAAAAAGGTGCACTCATGAAACAGGTGGAGTGTTAGATTTTATCAGGCAAGTATAAGGGACAAGGAAGACGCGGGTATGTGCTAGGTAGGGATGATGGTGAGGAAGATTTAAATGGTGAATAGAATTGATAGGCTTTCCAGGAAAACATCAAAGCATGATAGAAAAGAAAGTCAGATCGATGGCTTGGAGGCTCTAGTGGCATTGAAGGATTGTTGGAGTTCAGAAATAATGAGTTGAAAAGATCAGTAAAAGTGCTTTGAAAGAATCTATAATGAGATTCTGTTTGGATCAAGAGGCAGTTGTCCAAACAGAAAAAGGGAATAGTGCATGGTTTAAAATCAAGAAAGGCTTGTGTTGGGTTGTTTTCTCTCACCATACTTTGTTCAATCTGTATGCGGAGTAAACCATCAGAGAAGCTGGATTATATGAGGATGCCAATTCTGGCATCAGGAGTGAGGGAAGACTTATTAACAAGCTGCAGCATGCAGATGACACAACTTTGCTTGCTGAAAGTGAGGAGGACTTGAAGCACTAGCCGATGAAGATCAAAGATGATCGTCTGTAGTATGCGTTACAACTCAATGGAAGGAAAAGCAAAACCCTCCCAACTGGACCAATTAGTAACATCATGCTCAATGAAGATAGGGTCGAAATCGTTAAGGATTTTGTCTTACTTGAACCCACAATCAGTGCTCATTAAAGCAACAGTCAAGCAATCAAGACAGATGAGTTCCACTAGGTAAATCTGCATAAGATCTTTTTACAGTATTGAGAGCAAAGATGTTACTTTGAGGACTAAGGTGTGCCTGACTAAAGCCATGGTCTCCATTGCATCATATGTGTGTGAATGTTGGGTACTGAATAAGGAAGACCATAGAAGAAGCAATGCATTTGAACTGTGGTGCTGGAGAACAATATTGAAATTGCCATGGACTGCAAAAAGGACAAACCCATCTGTATTGGAAGATGTAAGGCCAGAGTGCTCCTCAGTGACAAGGATGGCAAAATTTCATGTTACTACTTTGGACATATTGTCAGGAGAGACCAGTCCCTGAAGAAGGGCATCATGTTTGGCTAAGTGGAGGGGACAGTGGAAATGAGGAAGGCCTTGCTGAGATGGATTGACACAGTGACTGCATCAGTGGACTCCGGCATAGGAACAGCTGTGAGGGTGGCACAGGACCATGCATAATGGAATTTAATTGTGTAGGGGTGAGATCTACTATGCATATGGGAATAAGTTGTTGAGGGCAAAAATAGCAAGCTCCTTGGAAGGAGGGCGGTGTTTCAGAAACTGAGAGCTAATTGTAGGAGAGATCCTCAATGTAGATGTAAGTTGAAATTGTCAATATTTGAGGGAGCGTGAGTTGGCAACTAAAATGGGGAAGAAATAAGGATGACAGTAATGATGAGGGATAGTTAATATACAAGAAAGTGTAAAAAAGAGAATGTTTCAACACATTCATAGAAAAATTAGATTAAAAGATAATAGAATTTTCCCACAAACTTTTTGAAGCCACCTCATATATAATTTAAGGAGCCCCTGGTGTTCTAGTGCTTACATATTGGGCTGCTAACCACCGAGTTAACAGTTTGAAACCACCAGGTGCTCCACAGGGGCATGATGAGGCTTTCTACTCCTGAAAAAGAGTTAGCCTTAGAAACCACAGGGGAAGGTCCTACTCAGTTATCTGGGGTGCTATGGTCGGAAGTGACTTGGTGGAAGTGAGTTTGGTTTTTGTTCCATACATAATTCGAAGAAATAAAATTAGCTGAGTTTGAGGGAGAGAGGAGAATAGTGTGAGAACAACAGTAACAAGTAAGAGGATAATGATCCTCTGCCATTCTCAAGCTCTCTGGTAAGGAGGGCGAAGAAGAAAAAATAAAGTCCGCCACTCCTTATAAAGACTGTGGTGGAAGCATGTTCTCAAGGGAGAACTGTGAGCATTAGGGCATTATAGAGAATGCTCAGAGAAGAGATTAGAATGGAAAGGTTCTGCTGCTGATGCACTGCGAACTGTAGAGTTTCAGGCTTCAGGAACGGGGAGGAGGTGAAGACAGTGTCAAACAGCACCTTGTAGTGTAACCCTTAATGCAGGAGAGGAGGGGTACCCCTCATGGAGATGCCATATACAAGAATGATGGAGCTAATTAAGATTAGCCCTGGTTCACTCAAGGCCTTTGGGGTGTGGTGGTGTGTGTGTGTGTGTGTGTGTGTGTGTGGTGCTGAGAAGGGTAGAGTGACTTCTAGTGCAGAGTAGTTGCTTTCTCTGTTGAGAGAACTGCTAGCTCAGTCTCAGTGCTGAGACTTGCCCTTCACAAACTTTAACGGGCTTGAAAACAGTTGGGGATAAGAGTTGTATGAGCCCCTAATAAAATGATTAAAAAATATATATAAAAAAAAGAAAACAGTTGGGGAAGCCTCCTGAGGCTCTGCGCATGCAGACTTCTACGGAACGGCTGGTGGTGGAGATGGAAGTGGCATGTGGAGTGCTCGCAGTCCCAAGGTGGGTCCGTCTAGGGTAGATTCTCTGAGTGGTAGGTGCTTTGTAGACTTATTGATGTTTGAAGAACCTCAGCCCACTTTTGCCCTCTGTTGGAGGGGCCAGGTCTCTGAGTGATGTTTTCACTTAATGTTTCTCTTCACTTTTCCCCTCTCTTTTGGCCTGTTTTCCAAAAGATTTTTTACTTTAGCATCTAATACTTAGACTTAATTTTATTTTTATGGCCATTTCAAAGATGTAAATAGTTTTACTTGCTCTGAGAATATTAATAAACTTGTTGGCTTGTTTACTATTGCTATCGTTGGTCTGTATAATTTGTTCCCATCAAGGTACACTTTTATTTTTTTGTTTGGTCTTCAGCTTAAGAGTGAGCTATTGCTGATTCCGGGAACCCAAGAGGAAAGCGAATTTTGGGAATGATGAGGGCAGCAAATGTATAGCTGTGCTTTACACAATTGATCTATGTATTATGATAATTGTATGAGCCCCAATAAAATGATTAAATTTTTTTAAAAAGTGAGCCATTAAAATGCTGAGAACTCTGAACATATGGATAGGACTTGTGCAAGGCAAGTTGTGAAAGTTTATTTGGCTGTGTGTTTTATTGGGAACAAACTGAGTTTTTATGGTCTTTTATTTTAGCTGGGTCTGAGACTTCTAGAAAGACACCTTGCCCTGTTCTGCCTAGCATTCTACTTTCTGGAAGCTGAAGGGGGGGCAAGGAAGACTAGAGGCCTCAGAATTCAGTACACATTTACACCTCTCTTGACTGTATCTTCCTGTTTGTCATAGATGTTTTTCTTGTACACCCCCCCTCCTGCAACTGGACCTAATCTAGAGCTCCTTTGCTTTTTTAAAAAATGTCTGTATTTTGTAAATTGTAAACAGCTTTATTAGGGTATAATTGATGTATAATAAAGTTCACATATTTGAAGTCTGTAATTTGATAAAATTTGACATATGCACACACCTATGGGATCATTACCACAATCAAGATGGAGACCATATCCAGAGCAGCTCAGTCTCCTTTGTAAACACTCCCTTCAGTCTACCTTGGGCCCTCCCCACCCACTGGTTGACATTTTGGAGTTAGTTTCCAGTTTTTGAGTTGTATATCAATGTTTGACATCTTATACTTCATAATATTTTGAGATTCAGTCAGAATAAATTGTTGGTGTATATCAGTAGTTCTTGCCTTTTTTGTTGGCTGAGTGATAATTGTATTGAGGTACTGTTTATCCATTTTCTTGTTCATGGACCTTTGTTTTCTCTCCAGTTTTTGCCTATTACACATAAAACGTATGAATGTCCTTTGAGTGAAATAAGACTGGTTATGTAGCCGAACTCAAAATATGTTTCCAATTATTTTTGTACCCAAAATGTTTTTCTACATAATACTAAAGCTCTCTCTAAAACTAAACAAGCAGCAGCCAACTGCCCAGAGATTTCCATTTTTAATAAAATTGGCCAAAAAATACCCATAAGAACTATTTCAGACACATACAAATAATAAAATCTGCCTGTTCTTAGGGATCCTCGAGCTTCTCAAAGAACTGTAGCGGGTGAGAACCCACTAGCTGCCCCATGGGAGAGAGATGAGGCTGTCTGCTCCCGTAACGATGCACTGCCACAGGCTCGGTTCTGCTCCGTCCTAGAGGGTCACTATGAGATAACTAAATGACAGTGAGCTTTTAGGTTTGGGGGGGCTTGCTATTATTAGTATTTGTTTATAATGGTCTCTGTAACACCTAGATGTTCTATAGTTGTATGTATATAGTATGTTCTATATTTGGCACTCAGAATTTTTGAATAAGTGATTTGTGACTGGTATGCTGAGGACCTGACTTTGCAACTAATTGGGCATTTATTTCAGACTTTGGATCTAGCTGATGAGCCTTCATTTCCATTTCAGATTAGGAAATTGAAGCTACAGTTAGAAGAAGAACGACAGAAGTGTTCCAGGAGCGAAGGCACAATGGGGGACCTGGCTGGACTGCAGAATGGCTCGGACTTGCAGTTCATTGAAATGCAGAGTAGGTACCAGGGGACAGGCAGTTGCAGTCTGTGTGTGGGCTCTATCCCAGAAGTGAGGTGTACACAGTTCTGGATCCTGTACTACATTATCTGAAGGGGACTGTGATGTTACAAAGATTGGTTAGTGCTTGGCTAGTCCGGGAAAGCACTGCTAATCACAACTGCAGGCTAAGAGTAGAAACTCTGGCTAGTAGAGGCTCTGGCTCAGGCTTCAGGGGATGACAGGCAAGAGTTAATGCTCTTCTTTCTTATGGGGAAACCTAAGAGCTCCTTGCAAAAAGTGAAATGCTTTTGACATCCCAACAATGTCTTTTTCCACAACACCCTTGTGTCGTCTTTTATTATATACACACTCAGCATCCAAGAGAAGGAAAAGAATTTTGTAAAATCTTGCAGGGAAATAGAAAAGACTTCTTAGCTTAGGTGTCAGTTAGTACTAGTCTGACATTTCTTGGTCTTTGTTGTTGTTGTTCTAGGAACATCATTTTGGTGTAGCTAAAGGAAGCTATGATCATGGTCCTGGCAATAGATAAAGCTTGAACCAATACAATGGCCACTAACCACCTTAGAGAACAGGGAAAAGATTTGGTCTAAAGCAGTGAATTCAAATGGAATCACAATGAAGGGGAGTGGACTGACATTTGTGTGAATGCAAAGGGCAGTTGGCATTACAAGGTTGGCGTTGGCAGAAGGCAGGAGGAAGTACCCAGGCTGGAGGTGCAGAACCAAATGAGCTAGGCAGGACCGTGACTGGGCAGTCCTGCTCAGTCAAGACCAAAGCAGGCAGCTCCCAAGAGCCAGAGGCCAGGAAAGGGGCCCTGACCACCCTCAGGTCGGGTATGCAGCGTTCTGGAATGGGCTTTCAAAATACACACGAAATGGCTGAGACAAGGAATTTACACCAAAAACAGGAAGGAGTGCATGGTTTGGAGCGTGAGAAGGAAGCAGCTCATCTGATTGATAACCAACAGGCTGCTGGGATGAAAGCTGAGGAGGAGCGCCCTAGAGCTGTCAGTCTAGTGTAGCCGCTGGAATGGCTCTCTTACACTCCCAGAGGGGGCATTTGGGAAGGGAAGGTGTAGAACCCCGTGGCTTTTAGAGTGACAGTAATTCTCATTTTCATTACCTCTTAAGTTGGAGATTAATTATATAGGCTATTAAAACCTTAGTCATGTGGGAATTTAGCAAATTTCTTTATTAGGTCATTTAAAATTTTCTTTTAGTAAGTTGGATTTGTTTCAGCGCTTGCAAGTCTTATGGTGTCTACCTGTGATCATTTCAGAGAGAAAGCTGTGTTACATTTGGGTGTCCAGAGAGCATTCTTAGGAGCCCTGGGGTCAGGGTGGTTACTTGTTGGGTGGCTAACTGCAAGGCCAGCAGTTACAAACCACCAGCCACTCACTCCAAGGGAGAAAGATGGGGCTTTCCACTTTTGTAAAGATCCACAGTCTGAGAAACCTCAGTTCTGCCCCGTGCCACAGGTTGCTGTGAGTCAGCAAAGGCTGGGTGGCAGGAGGTTTGGCTTTTGGTTTGGGGAGCATTCTTATCTTTCCCCTAGTTTTTAAACGTGACATTTTACATAATTTACTTCTCAGGTCAGATGCTAAGGTCCTCTCCTGTGCTATAGGTTTGTCATTGTCTGATGGGTCACACCTTACTTCTGAGAGGTAATTCATTCTCATCTTCTGCCCTAGGAGATGCCAATAGACAAATTAGTGAATACAAATTTAAGCTTTCAAAAGCTGAACAGGATATAACCACCTTGGAGCAAAGTGTGAGTACTTTTGTATGGTACAAAGTAAATTAACCCCCATGTGGGCTGTCTGTACAATGAGAGCTTGATAAAAGCTCTTTTCAAAATGGAAAAGCCAGAAAAGAACACCTGCGAGGGCACTTCAGCCTTTTGTTTTCTGTAAAAACACAGGAAACAGTAGCTACTGTTTTATTTGTAGTAGCTATATCAGGAAGCTGGATGTTATAAAATAATCCCTTTGTACATCTCACACACACTGTCTAAAAATGTTTCCAGTGAGTCTCCCTATGATGTTACTTTGACATTTAAACATATGGCCATCATGAAACTAACATGAGAAATTGACCCAATAATGAATGAAGCTACAGCTGCCATTCTCTCTCTGGGGACATTTCTTGATTTATAAATAGCAATTTGGATCAGAGAGGGCCTATTGCACACTAGGGAGACTTGTTAGTGTTGGATTACTTGGAATTCGTAATGACATTGTATTCCCCATTTTGACTATAAAGAAAGTACTGAGTACCAAAGGCCTATATTCTCATGTTCACAGATTAGCCGGCTTGAGGGACAGGTGCTAAGATATAAAACGGCCTCTGAAAATGCTGAGAAAGTTGAAGATGAACTGAAAGCAGAAAAGAGGAAGCTACAACGAGAGGTACTTGTCATGGGCTTTTGGGGAATGCATTCCTGAAAAGGAAGAAAATCTATCTGAAGTAGATCATTTTGTTACATGAGGAATTTCTGAAGGAGACCCATTTGAAGGAGCCGGCAGTGGAGTTACTTACTCTTTTCATATATTGGTTTGTAACCTGCATGATAACTGCCATTTATTATTCTGTTTTGGTTAGTTAGACGTTAAGAAAAAGGTGAGTTATTTTGTTTTTGTATCAGGACTACTTCTCTGACTCTCTTATATCTTTCCTGTGATTTAAGCAAATAAACAACAGTCACCAGCATTAATTTCTTAGCATTTCACACTTTCAGCAGTCTGGGGAAAAAATAATCCATCACAATGATCTGGGCTCCCATTTCTCAGAGTTGAAAGTAGAATGCCGCTGTGTTTTGTTTTGGATCACATCAAGTGACGGAGTGCTTCCTGTTTGCAGTTACGGACAGCACTGGACAAGATTGAGGAGATGGAGATGACCAACAGCCACCTGGCCAAGCGGCTGGAGAAGATGAAGGCCAATAGGACAGCCCTTCTGGCCCAGCAGTAGGGAGGCCGCCGTTTGACCTGGGTGCCTATGGGGGCTGACTTCTGTCCATGGACACAAACCCCTTTCAGTCCTGTTTGCATTTTCATCAGTATAGCCACCTTTGTATTTTATAATTTATGAGAGAATGAAACACGTTTGAATCTTCATGAATGAACACTCTGGATTTTTTGTTTGTGGTTTGATTCTAGACTAAGAACTGGCCCATGTGCTTTTAGTTTTTACTTCTTTAAATTTAGAATCAAGTTTACTCACTCTTTCCCCCAGCTTCCTAGTGATTGGACACTGGGCGGTGGCAGTGGCGCTCTGGAGGACTGCAACTCGGAGTGGTCACGGAGAGGCTTGCTGGAGACCCAGGAAACACAAGTGCCTTCGCCATGTTGCAATTCAGACTGCGGTGATCTTCAGTGGTCAAAAGACATTTACCCTTCGTATCAGATAGCATTTATATTTTAGTGCGAGAACAAGCTCACGGGTGTGGAAGATGCTTCACTCAAATTTATATGTTTGGAGGAAAAAACTTTTTTTTTGTAAAATATTTAAATTTATATAAGAAAATGTTAAGAAAAAAAGATGAGGAGTGTAAATAAAACTTGCTTTATTGCATGGGGTATGGAAAGTCCAGGGCCTAATACTCTTAAAATAAGAGTAGGGTCCTTCAATATTAACTGTGCTGTACTTTGTAAAGTATTTCATCTGCTGCTTTTTTGTGGAAATAAATAATGAAACCTCACACAAGCCCAATGGGGAGGGTGGGATAGGGCAGGGCAGGCCAGTGGGAAATCTGCCTGAAGATTCTATTAAACACAACCTTTGGCTGACCATAATTGGCTACTGAGACATTCATTTCACTACCTGAAAATGCACCCAAATAAAGATCCTATGTAAGATTGTCTAGGCTGTAAATCTTAATGGGAAGAGATGGCCTCATCCTTCTCCCGAGGAGCAGCTGGTGGGTTTGCGCCACTGACCTTGTGGTTATCAGCCCAATGCCTAAACCAAACACCATGAAGCTATAAATCTTCTTCATCTCCTCGCTCTTATTTTCCTCTCAGGTAAGATACATATCCCTGGAAGCAGCAGTCAGGAAATGAGACAGCTTATGTATGCTTTGGGCTACTCTGTAAAAGATCTCTCTAAAGTAATAAAAGACAAAAATGTCACTTTGAAGACTAAGGTGCTCCTGATGCAAGCGGTGATATTTTCAGTGTGTGTGTGTGTGTATATATATATAAAAAGGAAGACTAAAGACTGATGCCTTTAAATTATGGTACTGGTAAAGCATAGTAAATGTACCCTGGACTGCTCGAAGACCAAACAAGAGTGTGCTGGAAGAAGTATAACCAGAATGCTCCTTGGGAGTGAAGACGGCAAGACTTGTCTCATGCAGTCTGCACAGGTCCGCATGCGTGCAACAGTAGAGGCAGTGAAAAAGGGGAACACCCTCAGAGAGATTGGTAACTGGCTGCAACATAGGGACGTGGGCTCAAGCATGATTGTGAGGGTGGCACAAGACTGAGCAGTGTTAGCATCTATTGTACACAAGGGCACCGTGAGATGAAACTCACTTTATGGCACCCAGCAAGTTTAACCCCCTATTTTTTTTTTTTCTTCCATGACCTTCATAGTTTTAGGTTCTACATTTAGGTCTTTGAGCCATCTTGGGTTTGTGAGATAGGGAATTTTGCTGCACAAGTTGTGAGATCAGGTAGTGAGAAGCCTCCTACTTTATTCTTCAATAAGACCTTACCTATCCTGATCCATTTTCTTTTCAATATAAAGTTGATTCATTTTCTTTCTCTTTAATGAATTTTGATAGTCTGGATCAGGATTGCTTTATATGTGGGTGGAATTTTCCACAATGTTTATGAAGCCTCCTCATATCTAGAGATTACTTTGGTTAGTGGCAACATTTTCACCATGTTAACTCTTCCTATACATGAAGATAGGCGTGTTCTTCTCTAGGATTTTGGATTCTCTTGTATGCAGAATCAAGATGGCTTCATAGAAACTATTAGTGTGTCTTTTAAAATGTTTAGACAGCAAAAAATATTGGGAAAAATCTAATGAATCAAAGCTACATAAAATACGCTTGAAACTAGATAGTAAACTTGAATGAACACTCTCTTGCAAATAATTTACCAAGCCTCTTTAAAATGTGGAAATGAATCTTCTGACTTGAAATGATTTCCTGTAAGTTTTCTTTCTAGTAGTAGTAACAGGTGGGTGTGAGGTGGAGATATTCTAAAACGATGATTTCTTCTAGAACCCCACTATCCAGGTTCACCACATTGTCCGGGCCAGCTCTTACGGCCCTGGAAGCCTCTTTCTTCTTCACTCGTGACCACGCAATCTGTGACTCTTTCAGGCTCACGGACGATCACATCTGGGATGCCCTTTTCTACTTTTCGTCAATTCTGTTGACAAATTTGTCTTTTCATAGGGGCACTAATTTCCAAGTGAAACAGCCACATATCTCCATATCACAAGTTTTCTATTCTTTCCCAACAAAGTGCCTTCATTGAACTGTATAATGCCATAGGTATTATTCCAGTCCCATGCTGAATGCTATATTTCTGTTAATGCAGACTGTTAAAAATAAATTCATCATCTTTGGTTACTGGAGCTACTAATAGATGATAAACCCAAGCTGTCTCCATAATCAGTGTGCCCAAACTTATAAAACAAGCCAATGCCATCTGATATTAAAAGATTGCCAATATAGAATTGATTATGAGTATGAGCTATAACATCTTTGGATTCTTATTTTGCTTATACAATGCTTCATCAGGCACCCAGGGGGCTTTCAAAGTATTTTTTGGATTTTTTAACACCATAAAATAGGCACTTAAGTACCAAAAAAATTTCAAGTGTAATGGAATTAAATATCTAAGAAGTCTTGTTAGGATATAGTTGAAAATTTATTTACGGTTTACCTTTAATGAAGGGAGTTAACTAGTAAACAAACAAGAATATTTTAAGTCCTACCATCATCAGGATGCAAAAACACCCCTGGGGTCCAGGGTCAGCCACCTTTAACACCTCTCAAAGACTTTGTACAGGTCAGGCAGGTTAGCAAGCTGCAGGATATTTCCATCTTCTGTGAAATGTTGAGGAGGCAGAAGGTGTGAGCGGAAGGCTTTATAGAGAATATGTTCCACAGTCCATTTCCAGGGGTTTGGAGCAGAGTCGGGCCCGTCACTCTGAAAAACATGTCAGATGTAACAAACCTCATGGTCTGAATCTCTGATGCCTCACTACATGCATGTACTGGCATCCTAGCTGGCATGCACTGTGCCTGGAAGTCGTGGTCCATCGACCGCTCTGAAGGCGCTTCTCTAGACCCGCCTCTACTGGTCCCACAGGCACAGCACACAGGGTCTGAGAGGTTTTTCAGGTGGAGAAAAAGCCACATTCCTTATGGGACTTTTCCCCCAAAGAACCCTGTCTCCATTCAGGGTCTAAAATAATGCCTGAGCTTAGTTTGGGGAACCAACAGTGAGAAGCACATTTCCTGACGCAGCAAACAGTAAGCCCTGTTACCAAAAAGCTCCACGGTAAGAAAATAAAGACCGTTTACTCCAATCTTCCCTCCAGTCTCAGCCTTCACTGTCTAGAGCAGTGGTTCTCAACCTTCCTAATGTCGTGACCCTTTTACTACCACATGTTGTGGAGACCCCTCAACCATAGATTACTTTCGTTGCTACTTCATAACTGTAATTTTGCTACTGTATGAATTGGGGGATCCCTGTGAAAGGGCTGTTCAACCCCCAAAGGGTGGAGAGCTGCTGCTCTCGAGGGTAAGAAAAAGTTCCTTCTCATCTGGCTCGTCCTTGAGGTAGAATGTTGCAGTCCTCAGCACACATTCGTGGGTGCTGCATTCACGGAGCGAGGTCTTCTCTAGGGTGTTTGGGTCCCAGGGGCTAAGACCGCGTCTGTGCTCCACCACCTACAGGCCCCGCGAGCCTCTGAGCATGTCCACTCCCATTTCCTCACCCAGGGAGTGGAGAAGGCCTTCTAACCGGAGGGAGTAACCCTAAGGAATGAGGGAATTGGTCATGTTTGTAAAACGGCTATACTTGGATTCTTACATTGTGAACTCAGCTCCACATCCACAGGAAATAACTGTTGCTAGAACAGCATTATCCTTTGAGTGGCAAAGGCACTAAAACATTTGGTAAATCCAAACTCTGTGTCAGGCTGGCTTTCTGTGAGAAGTGCGGGGGAGCTGGCCTGGACACAGCCACATTTTACTGGTAGGGCTGTGCCGATGTCAAGAGCAAGGCAAAAACTGAAGAGACTGGGGAGACTGAGCCAGAGGCCTCCAGAGGCCTTGGGCAATCTTAATCTCCAGTTTCATACTGTGATGGCTCGTATTTCTACATTTGATAGAGGTTCTGAGTTCACCTCCAGAGGACTATTTCACTGTCCAACGAAAGAAAATAAAAAAAAGCTGAACATGGTTTAAAAGCATGTTTTGTGCAGTGAGATCCAGGGTACTCGAGCTGAGAAAGGTTGGGCCACCATATAGCACAGTACCTGCTGGTGGCCAGAGAGGGTGGACTCCTCACTGACATACTGCTTCCGGATGGAGTAGAACGTTGCACATTCTTTACTTAGGCTTTCAAAACATTCCTTTTCTTCATCCCAATTCACCTGGTCGGAGAGAGAGAATTCAACACTTGCACATGGCATGTGCTTTAAATGCATGAGAGAGAATTCAACACTTGCACATGGCATGTGCTTTAAATGCATG